GGGGAGAGCTACGCAGGGAAGCCGGAAGGGTAAAAAGACGACGTGTTCAATCAGCACTACCTGAACCGGGGTAAGGTGCAGGCATGTCGTTCTCTGCGATACTGGAAAGATCGAGCGTGAGGCATTTCAGAAAAGTGGTGAAGTAACCAGAGTAGTGCTGAACATACTGTATAACGTACTAGTACAGAGTACTCGCAGGTGAGCGCAATACCCAAGCCGAGCGTCTGGCCGGGTTGCCTAACCTGATGGACCACTCGAAGCGCAAGAAATTGCCAAAGGAAGGGTACTCCGGGCAACCAGTTGAGCTGTTCATGGCGTATTACCACAGAGACCGTGTTGGCTTACAGTCCCGACAGACGGGATCGGTTGGATGATTGGTATCGTATGTGATGGTCGAAAATATCGCTTTAAAGTAAGCCCAGTAGATGGTTGCCAGTGCCTACCACGCTCCCTTCACTTAAGGAAAGATAGAAGAGCATACTGTCCTCGTCACGAACTTACCACACTGCAGGGCGGGAACTTTGCGATCGTGACCCGGCATACTTAGGTAGGAAAGGTTGGGCGAGCTGCGAGACCTAGAAAGACCGAAATCTATCAATCTAATTATACGGGCCCTGCAGATACAGGATATAACAGACAGGATGCATGGAAGGAGGGGAGCAGCGTTCTAGCGTCGCGTGTACGTACATCGGAAATACCAGAAGTCCGGTATGGATGTCCGTTGAGACGACATGAACCCAGGCGGATTAGTGGCCCATGCTCTACTCCCAGGTCCTGCTGTTAGAGGATACAGAATATCATTCATACTTCCACGGACAAGAGTGGTGTATCAGATAGTCGAGGTGGTGTTGATTGTCGAACTTGTCCAGAGGCTGCCAGTGCAGGAGGCTTGGCTCAAGTACGAGAAACGTGGCCTGTAAACCACGACACCTGTGAAGGCTGCCCTGTGGGGTAAAGCTGATTTCTTTCAAAACGAAGACATAACTGGAAGATAGCCTGGACATGAGACTCAAACGGAAGAGAGAAAGAGGTGCCAGTGAGTACTAATCGGGTTCGATCATAACCCGAAATGGAAATCGTGGTTCGAAGGGCTCCCTGGTTGACGACTTCAAGCTCAAACATATTGAAGGTCAGTTAGAATACTGCTATCACTCCCGAGGAAATGAACCATCTGGTTTGAGGATATGTCTATTCCTCATCCAACTGAAGCCAGAATGACAAGCAAACCCACTCCTCTCGCGAATCCATCCGACATGATGAAGATCAAACAGCTCATCGCGGAAGACCACTTGGGAGGCTGGGACAAGGCTTGGTCTGTACCAGAGATACTATGAAGGCATAGTGCACCCTGCCGAACAAATATAAAATGATGTGGCTAGGCAGAATAAGGTAACACCATGGGATGCCGGTCAAGTCCAACCGCCGCTGCGTGATCTCATCGAGCAGAACCAAGTACCCTTGCCAAAGTCAGGAAGGGCCCTTGTGCCGGGATGCGGCAAGGTAGGCTGTGGCAAGCCTTCTAACATAGACATATTGCTCATCATCTCCTTGTAGGGTTATGATGCCGTATTCATTGCGTCCTCCTTGGGACTCAATACTCTTGGAGCCGACATATCCGCGACAGCGGTGCGCTCTGCATCAGAGTGATTACAACTGAAATTGGGATGTCTGAATTACTCCTGATGTTCCTACCACACTGTACAGATATCTGGGAACCCTTCCGTCCGCACCAGCAGGGAAGGTAGAGTTCAAGGCGCTTGACTTCTTCGCGTTCACAGTCCCAGAGGATGAGAAGTTTGACTTGGTATACGACTACGCGTCAGTCCTTCTTACATTATTGTCGGGCAAGCACACCCGATTGAATCAGGTTTCCAGATTTTTCGTGGCCATACCGCCAACAATGAGACCGGATTGGGGAAGAAAAATGACGGAGCTGGTGAAATCAGGAGGGTATCTGATCACACTGATGTTCCCCATGGATCAGCCCAAGGACGCTCAAGGACCTCCGCATTATGTCGAGTTCGAGCATTATGCTGAGGCGTTAGGTGATGGCTGGGAGAAAGTCTTCGACGTCATACCGAAGAGAAGCCTGGAGAACCACATTGGAAGAGACAGACTCGTGGTTTGGCTCAGGAAATAGTCTGCCCATATCATTGTAATTGTACTTATTGTCGTATGTACATAGCATCGTAATCGTATAGTACGGAGCCACAAATCGGGACAACCATCATCGCAGCAATGAAGTCACGTGCCCGTGTTTTTCTTCTTTCGGACAACGTATACGAGGACCGTTCGAATGCAAGCAGCTCAGTCTTCATAGCGCATTCTGGTCCACGTTTACGAGTTTCTGCCGTGGCATTGCTAATGTGGGCATTGCTGAAGCTGCGCGGCGCGGCCATACACTCACGTCCGACCAACGCTAGATGGTTTCACGCCTCGACAAGCAGGCTCTCTGCAGTCACTCTTCCGCTCCTACATGCCCATGACATTCCGGACACGTCCTCTCACGAGCCTCCGTCCCTTCTCTCATCTGCTCTCAAGAAGCAAAACGAGCGAGCGTACGTGGATGCTGTTGACAAGCTCAAACTGAACGAGGACCTTCCGCCCATGGAGAGATGGGCTCGCTACACAGAACTCGTGGAGCAAGAAGGGCCTGAAAATATAGCGCCGGAGGTGCACCGGCAGATCCTGCGCATGTGCGTGCCGTCGCCCAAGAAGCTGCGCTGGTTCGTGTCGCGTTACTTCGTCTCAGGGTCCATCCACAAGGACAAGCCATACCGCTACGAACACCGGCTGCAGGCCGTGGTGGCCAACATGAACCGGGTGGGCTGGGCGCCCAGGCTCGACGACTACCACTTCATCCTGGAGCAGTTTGCTGCGGTCGGGCATTACATCGGGACGCGCAACGTGCTGAAGGAGATGATCCGCGAGGGCTTTGAGCCGACGCAGAAGACGATTGGGCTGTGTCTGCAGTCTATTGCGTACCGGCTGAGTCTCCCGTGCAAGCGGAGGCATCGGAAGCGTCTCGTGCGGTGGACACGATTGGTCCTCGATGAGGTTCTGCAGGAGATGTGGACGAGGAAGATCCCGTTCACGTCGGTCAATATGGACTTGGCTCTACGTGTCCTGCGGGAGAAGACAGATGTCGAGGGTTTCGAGCAGCTTTTACGCGTCTCTTACGGCCTCGACCTCGCAAACCCCGACAAGCTCGCGTTGGAGCACGTCAACAAGGCAGAACCGACCGCGCTCTTGGCATTCTCTACCGCCACCCTCAATACCACGATTGACACGCTAGGGCGGTTTGCACCGGTATCAAAACTTGTCACAGCTTTCGAAGTGATCACGAATCCTCCTGTTGCGAGCAATCCTCCCTTCGCGTTAGAGGACGACGACGATGATTTCGGAGTACCTCCGGACCCTCAGGCAACGCTAAGACCGCCATACGCTGAGCCTAACACCAAGACATACACTCTCCTTCTACATCATCTCTCCGCCCAGCATCAAACGACTTTTGTTAGACACTATTTGATCCAGGCGATGCAGGCCGAGTTCCAGATGGACCGGCGAATACGCGGATTAATCGAAGCGGGGGTGCCTCTGGAGAAGATACCGTCGCATAACATGGCGGTCAACCGCGATATGCTGCAGTCTGTCTTCAACCATGCCGTTGCACGGGACAAGGGAACGCTGATGGAGTTTGTCGCGCGAGCCACCAAGCGGGCTCTGCGGCGAAAGAGAGTTTATTTAGAGTACTACCAGGGTTTGCTGGAGAAGTTGTCCGCGGATCAGCCGATCGCCGCCGAGGCTGTCCCAGACGATGAGGACGTCATCCAGGATTCTGCGTCCTCTTCTTCCTTGTCCTCGGAAGAGACCAGTCAACCTGCTTACAAGCCGACGTATCAGGATGCTGTGATATCCCGGATATTCGACGTCGACCTGGACGCGCCGCCTAATTCGCAGGCGAAACCTCGAAGTCATCTCGACATCCCTACCCATATACGCATCTTATGGCGGGACATCCGAGAGATCTCGGAATTTAGTGTCCGCGTCGAATATAAGCATGAGAAGTGGCTGAACGCGCTGAAGCGAGACGTAGCGCGGAGAGCCGCGCAGGGCAAATCTGTGTATCTCAGGTCGCTGGGTAAATCGGTGCTTGCCCCGCCCGAGGTGGTTCTGAGGGAGGACACGAAGACGTCGGCTGCGGAAGCCGACGGAGGGAAACGGCAGGAAGTCGAACAGGGCGAAGGAACGGAACGGATCCCGACCCAGGTCAAGGAGGCATGAAGGCGTGATTCGTGCCCTTCAGTTCCTATGACTTCATCACGACCCACACGAAACCTTGTATTTATTTGCTTATTTATGTGAGTGGTAGTTCGCTTTTCTCCCGAGTTGCGTCGATGCTAACTGGTTTTCTCTAGTGCCGCATCAGTCGACACGCCGGTCAATACATCAACTAGATGCTCCTACGAAGTTGGAAGATCAACAACAAAAGCAAACTATCTGGCCTGACCTAACCCCTCGTTTATCCTGCGGTAGTCGACAGCAATTCTGGTATGCCGAGATACCCTCTCCAAGCACGCAAGAACTGATAAGTAGAGGATGCCCGCTGTATCATAATTCACATGTACATTAATCTCGGCTTGCTTTGCATGGATGGCACAATGCAGTCTTGGATCGAAGCCCCTTCCACGTGATCAAGCTGCGTCACTTTCACAATTCACGTCTGTGAAGTCCCTGCACGGCGCGTCTGTGGTCGTCTCCTACTTCCATGGTTCATACTGGAAGCGATGCAAGGCGAGATCGACCACTTTACGCCATCCCCGAAAGCGAAGAGACTCGCTCGAGATGCAGCTGCTCGACGACGCGACCACTCGGGATCCTGTGACGATACACTGGAACGGCCCATCAGGCGCCTTCAACTGCTGCAGAGACTGGCTCTTGACATGGAGGAAGAAGAGAATACCGCGGAGAAGCTGTTCCGAACTTTCGACCTTAGTTTGGGCGATGCAAGTGTTGCTCCAAAAGCAGAAGGAACGCCAGATGACCTAGCTGCAGAGATGTCTACGCTTTTCTGCTCCACTGATCTCGCCGACACCGGTGCAGCATGTTCTGGGCTTTCACCGTCTCGCTGCGCATGCGAGGAAGCGAGGTTGAACACACCCGCGACAGAAAAAAGAAACTCCTACCTGTCGACTCCTATGAGGATGCAGTACTTCCCTACGCTGAGCCCTACGATTCTAAAAATGCTCCTTCGGACGCCGCCTGACTATTCCCCAAGTGCAAGCTGGGGCGATAGGTCAAATACCACTGACCATCACGTCTCTCCCGTCAAGCCCAAAGAGGAGCCTTCGAGCACCGGAGAGCGAGATGATCCTTTCTGGACCTCGGAAGATTGCACCGTCCCCGCGTCCGCTAGTCAGGGACAATGGCTGTCGACTGAAATGACCGGAATGCCTTTGACACCTCCACCGAGCGCTCGCCTCCCCGGCTCCCGCAGGTTCTCAGGTGCGGCTCAGGACAAGGTCCCGGAGCGTGGTCTTTATGTAAAAGACTCGCAACATGATTCTCCTGCTGTGGTGCCCGCTATTGTTCACACTGCGGCTTCTTCTCCTGGTCGTCTTTGTCCGTCTTCGAGCGTTACCCTGGATGACGAGCGCGCAGTGCAATACCCCCTTCTCTCTCCTACCACCCTCAGGCATTTCCTGTATGTCATTGACGAGTTGAAGAGCCTCCACGGAGACCCCGACGAGAGACAACAGCTGTTGCGCCAACACCTGCGAACCTCGACATCGGCCCCAGCAGAGCTCTCTTCCTCTCCTATATGCCCTAACAGCACTCCAGGACGCAAGACACATCGCTCCAGGTCTCCGCTCATCCCTCCGGATCTACAGCACGAGTCGGCGCTAAACCAGGAATTCGCCGCCCTTCTATTGGCCCAAGCGATCGAGGAAGAGCAGCAAGCAGGGGAGCTCAGGAAGATCGCGGACCGCCTCGACCGGGTCGCCTTGACTCGGCGGCGACTGGCTGGCGTGACAATTGCGAAGACAGCAGGTATGAATGGCCGACCGAAGAGGGAGTAGGTGGTCTATCGTGGGGAGTTGTCAGTTCTGAAACTGACTGGCATATCCATAGATGTTTCATCCTCGTGTGATCATGCCGCAGACCTGCACTTGTAGTCGACCATTCTCAGTGTGGCCCCTATGAAGCGCTGACCGCGTCCAGTCTTCCTTTAGCGAGATTATGTATATATCCATCCCCCGTAATAGATGTACTCTAGTATCGACTAATGCAATAGATACAAGCTTCCTTCTACAATGGTGCAGCCCGAGCACTCGGGTCCTTGAGTGTGTATGCGATGCTAGTGCCAGGTCCGGTGAGAGTGGGAGATACGATGTAGCAATGATCAATGAGAAAGAAAGCACCCCTTATTGTCCAAACCTCCCCTTCTCGAGCGCATGGTTGTCTACTACCTTCTCCATCGCGTCGAGCCACATCTCTACGTCGGTTCCTCCGCTCTTGTGGACGCCGTTCATTTTCTTGGAGTGCCCGTTGATCCCGTTGGGGATCGCGAGGTGGTTGATGCCGATGCCGATGTACCGCGCGTGGGCGAGGACGGGGAGGCGGCGGAGAGCGCGTCCTGACATGCCCTGCTCCTGCAATCACTTCGGCGTTAGTGGAATAGGGAGATGAAGAGGTGACGTTCCACACGTACCCGACAGCGCTCTGCGAGCTTCAGCAGCCTCAGGCCGACGACCTTATTTCGGTCTTTCTTGCTGACCTCTTCGTCGTGGCTTTCCCCATCCGCCTGTGGCTGTGGGGACAAGTACGCGGACGTGCGCTCGTACATCTGGGCTTGCGTGAGAGTGGGAACGTCCTGAGATAGCACGAGAAGTTAGCATGTCAGAGGGGAGGTAATTCGGACGTACAGCGTCGCACACGATGCCCTTGTGCACGAGCTCGGAAAGGCAGCTCCGGAGGATGTCGTAGATGGCTTCGCGCGGCGGGAGGTCGATGTATTGGATGATGTCCGCGCGATCCACGAATGCCGAGTCTGTCGAGGCGTCAGCACTGAATGTAAACTAAACAGAGGCAAAGGGCAGGGTATATGCGTACCGATTGCTTTTGCAAGGTTGCTCGTGGACATGATCAGAACGTTCTTGCGGTGTTTGAGTTTGTCTAGTTGGGTCAGGAGAGCGTTGACGACCTGAAATCGCGGCAGCAAGTTAATAACCCTGTGTCGAGTGGTTACTGATATCAGCTTGCCCGTAGACCGTCTGAGGGCTCAGTGCCGGCCATTGCACCAGCCCGCGCCGCTGTTAACGACTCAACCTCGTCTTTGGTATCCCCAATGAGTACCCATAAATCGATCATGACGTGAGTACATACCAATGAGTACAACAACAAAGGTCTCCTCGTCCTCCACCATCTCCATGATGGTGCTGAAAAGTCTCTGCACGAGCTTACCACTCTCGGAGAACCAGCGGGAGAACAGGGAATGTGAATTGATTTCTAGGAGGCGGGAATGTGGATATCTGACTCGGTCGTATAATAACGCGAGATGTGAATATCAACAATGTGGGGAAGGAAGCCAACCGCGGTGTACACACCGATGTGAGAGGCGTATCGAAAGCTTTTGTGCGAGTGCACGGCATAATGAGGTCTTGCCCGTTCCTGGTGGGCCGTGAAGTAGCACGACACGATTCCAGGAGACGACATTGACTGAGTGGTGGTGCCGTTAGGATCTGCCATCACGCGGGAGCCAGAAGCTGATGCTCACAGTCAACATCAGCATCGCTGAAGACTACCGTCGCATAGATGTAGTCCAGCAACCGTCCCTTGACGTCCCCCTCATATATTAAGCTATCCCAGAGCCCTTCCCAGCCTCGGCTAGGCAGCTCGCACACACTAGCAGCCATCACCTCCTCTCCTTCGCCGCCTCTCCCCCCGCCATCGAACTCCTCGAAGGCGTCCGTGTCACTGGGCTGGTAAACGTGTATTTGCAGAGCGCAATCTTCGATTGGAAGAGAAGGGGACACAGAGGAAGCAAGAAGCGATGCCGGTGGCTCAGCAGCCACAATTCGCTCGACAGAGGCCGATAGGACGGGGTGGTCTTCCCATCCTGTCAGGGTGGAAGGCAGATAAACATGCGAGAGGGACGTCGTCAGATAGTTCTGGACGAGGTTGCGGATCGTATCGAAACGCGCCGTGGCAGTCGGCGCCACTCTGACTTCGACTGGGGCACTCGATCAGCGTGACATTGGATAAAGGTGGATATATGCGCCTTACTATGCACCGGCCAGATCGTCTGCGCCTTCGGGGTCGTGGATGCGTTACCCCCGTTTCTGGCGCGGGAGGGGGAAGACATAGTTACGTCGAGCTCGTCGGCCATGGTGGTGGATGTGGAAAAAGACAAAGGTCGGAAGGTGGCGGCACGCGACTGCAACGCGTCGGAAAGATTGGACAGGACCAAACAACGCGTAAACAACCCGCCGCCACGTGATTGGCTTTAATGCCTTATTCGGACGTGACGCCTTCGCTTTCAGTGTCTTTTAGTCTATCGGGACTTGCTGTACATCCACAATGGTTGCTCCTGGAACGTCTGTAAACTGTGTTCCTTGCCAGGAAAATTCTACAGATAATGCACAACCTGCAGGTGCTGCTCAGCCCGAAAAGCCAGATCTCCTGGACCCTTCTACCTTCGTTGCACCTGCTCCTCTACCAGGGCCGAGCATTGTCATCGAGTTCTGTGATAGGGTAAGCTGACAGTAATGAATCAAGCGACAGCAACCTCAAATATGCATGGACACAGTGCCGCTGGTATGCACCATGATGAACGCGAGAGATCTCCCTCTGCTTGCCTAATCATTGGATACGAATAGGTTACACCGAGCAACTTGGGTCTCCACCGAGCTGTTTCTGACGTTCCCACCGCCGGCTCTGAAATCCGTCACATTGATGCCTATGAATGCGGATGAAACTGCGGGACGTTTCCGGGTGTGGCTGTTTTTGGACGACCAGCCTCCCCATCTGATGTGGGACCGCAAAGTGGAGAGTGGTTTCCCAGAGTTGAAGGCGCTAGTGAGTGTCATGGGCATAGTGCCTGGCATATCAACCTTGATTCACTTCCATAGAAACAGCGCATTAGGGATCATATTCAGCCCGGAAAATCCTTGGGTCATTCCGACAAGAAATGAATTCCTCGAGTCGTTGGATATGTACGTCAAGTGTTGCACGCTACACCCATTCCAATAACCGGTGATTTGTGATCCACCATGATCGTACAAGTCTTCATACAAATGTGCCTTTAAGGATAGGCACTAAAAAGACTCAGGCCATGACTCGATATGACACTAGATAGAGTATCAGGTCAAGTGAAACGCTCCGAGATGAGTTTTTACTGGAGTTCCGGCTGCGTGTCAATTGGCAAAGTAGCATGATGGCCTGAACTATAGCGTATTGGATGCTATCCTCATACACATCATTGATTCAATTCCAATCACACAGACCCAGGATATCCAGGAGGAAGTGAACAAGTGTATTGGCGAATGGTGTGGCAAGAAACCAGAGAGTGAAATCAAGATCCTTGACGCGACGTCGCACGTGGTGGCTGTGCGTCGGGGCACATTTACACTCCGCTCTCATTCTCTTTCACTGCACCCGCCATTGCAAATCAGTCTTCCCTTTGACTCCTCTTCTTCCCTCTAACATCCACCACCACAACATCTGTAACCCGCCCACAATGGCCAAATCCCTGCGCTCAAAAACCAAGCGCGCCTTCCGCTCCAAAAAGCGCGAAGCAGGCGTCTATGCCGCGACCGAGGCCGCTCGTCTCAACCGGCTCAACCAGAAGCTGGTCGCGTTGAAGGCGGCGGACCCGGAGGACTTCAAGGAGATACCGGTGGAGGGCGAGGCGGACAAGGAAGAAGGGTGGACCGACGAGATGGAGCCAGGTTGGTGTGGACTTGTATCCTCGTCGTGCTTTGCTTTTTTCGGGCTGTGCGACCAGGATAGCATCGGCCCGGAGAGCATGGGGGAGTGGGAGTGGTCCGCCTGGGAGTCAGGAGAGGAGTCTTCGGGTTGTTGAAGAATCTGTCCCTGTTTTCCCTCCCCTCCCATCTTCAAGGTTGGGAGCGGTTTTACTGACTGGGCCCCTCCCTTTGTCTAGACAGCCGAGCTGTCTCGAATACCAACACATCAACAGGTTCGCTTCCCCTCTTTCCTATTACCGCGGACAACTTATTCATATCCACCTCTCCTCTTTTACTTCCCGTACATCCAGACGCCATGGACCTAGATCCCAAACCCTCATCATCATCCCAGCCGCAGAAGATCTCCACCCACGGACCCCGTAATTCTCGAAGAGAGCAATGGCGAGTATCGAAAGGTATGCCCGCGCGGCCCCAGCAGAAGGGCATGAACCGCCAGGGAGGCATCGCAGCGCGGCGGAAAGCCGGGCGCTCGCACCGGAGACGGTAAAGAAAGCAGGGACGGACTTTGAGTCATTTGCTATGGGCGTGTGCGCACAGGAAAAGTACTTGTTATACGATCGTATGCGTGGTATATCTGTAATTTATTGCCAGACGGTTACTGTTTAGTTCTATGGATATCAACGAGCGAGCGAGGGATACATGGCTACAAAAATGGTGGTCGTCATTCAGGTTAATATTAACACAACACGCCGTGCAACGGCGGAAACCGCAAACCGTATTACAGGAGGGCCGGTAGGTAAAAGAGGCGAGGCGAGGGGGGCCATGATTATATCGCGAAATGATGATGATGATGATGATGAAGGGGTGAATGGATGGGTTAACGGTTAACTTGAAGCACCCCTCAGACAGCGTGCGCGGCGAACTCGTCCGCCTCTTTTGTGCTGGCGAACTGGACGTGGATCCCGTGCGAGGACGAAGAGTCGAGCGAGCCCTCGGAGCCCTTCATCTTCAGGGTCCCGTTCGTCCCATCGAATGGCCGCCCGTCGTACTGCGAGCCCACCGCCGTGGGCGATACCGGCCTAGCAGACACCCGCAGCATTCAGCATCACGTCGGCAACGGGAAGAGTGCGGCCATGAATGCACTCACGACATGTCCTCCATGACGATCTGGTCAGTCGTGACGTGAATCTCGGGCCGCGTGATGTTGTACCGCGGCGCCTTCACGCTCGCGCCGTACCGCGACAGGCGCACCTCGTTCGCGATCAGCGACGCGCTGTGCACGTACGGGTCCTTCTTGGCGTAGTCCTGCAACCGGATGACGGCTCGGCATGCTGCGATCGACCTGGGCAAGGCACCGGGTGTCAGGATGGGTGCTAGATCGGAGAGGTTATCAGACTTACGCGACGGTTGCGGCGGGGACTGTGGCAATGCTGCGGGCGACAGACGTTTGTGAGACTCGACGAATGGACATCCGACGTTGACTTACACATTCATCGAGGCTACAGAGAAGTAGCGATTAACATTTGTAGTCAGAGAGGAAATAATGCGGCACTCACTATTGAGGTTTAGGAGGTTCAGGATCTATATCCCAAGGTATTATGAGTACCAGAGACCAAAATAGGTAACCACGGTAACTGGACGTACAGCAGGCAAAGTGTTTGCGCCAGCCGTCACCAGGAAGTACACCAGCCCATCCTTGAAGAGCATCTTCCACAGACCCGAACGCCCCTCCGACCGGAACAACGAAGTCATAGTCAGAACAAGGACGGTTAAATCAAACGCCATAGCTGCCGATCGAAGTCAGCCCCACGTATTACCGCCGGTGGAAGAAAACTTGCTCACTGTACAACAGGTTGATACTAAGGAAGATATGGTTGGTCTTGTCGACGGCGCACGCGCCCGCCTGGGGGTCCCACGTCGCGCTGACAATGAACATGCCGTACCAGAGCAGGCCCCAGTGGCCCAGGCAGAGAATGCCGACGGGGATGACGACCTTCAGGGAACGTTCCCACAAGGCGATCCTGAAATGCCGAAGGGATGGCATCAGATTGCATCCGGGATAGGGGTGACAGATGAAGACTCACGTCCGCAGCATCAGGGTAGTCGACGCTGCGAGGATCGCCATGTTCCCGCAAAACTGCAGAATCAGAAAGGTGTCAGAAACGAGCAGGATGGGATCAATAAACCGCGACTAACGGAGTTGAAGGTGTATAGTGCCTTGAGGACGGGGAAATCAGTATCTCAGCCGGACGAGACAGGAAAATGAGCATACATTGCAGTTAACCTGCCGAGCACACCGGAGTAAACGTCACGGCTCCAGTATGGTATAATAAGCACGTACCTCGGACTCGACGGAAAAGGAGATGATCCTGTATGCGAAGGGGGAGGTTAGAAAGGTTCGATCTCGCCGGAGGGACGCCTACGCACAGTCCGATGAGGGCCCACAGTATGCAGTATCGACAGAGGAAGAAGAAGACTGCAATGGTGGTTCAGGTCTAGTCCGCGTGAAATAATAATGGTGCACATACTCTAAGATCACAGAAGGTCAGTAACCGATGGTCGGCAGGGATATAACTCTCACCAAAGGCCACTTAAACTGGCGTTTCTTCTGGATGAGGGACCACTCAAAGGTGCAGGTCGAGAAGAGCTCCCAGCAGTAAAGACCGAAGAGGGCGAAGATCAAGCGGATAAAGACCTCTGTGGGAGGTAAATTAGACTCGACTTCGCGACGCAGCGCAGGCTGTACCCACCGCTATCCTTGGTGATCTCAGCGACGCTCGACCAGTCCGGCATCCTGAGTTACGGTGGCTGGAGGTGGGCAGGAGGCCTGCCGCGGTACCAAGAACTGAAGGAGAGTGAAGGGTCGAGGTGGGCGCTGCGAGATGAAAAGGGCGAATTTAAGAGGGGTGACGGTATCAAACATGGCTGGATGAGGGAGAAGCAGTTGACTGGTGTCAGGCTTCTCTTCTTGCTCGCCGAAGGGACATGCCCCTTGCCTTTTCCGGCCGCTGCTTTGTGTCCGTACCTTTTGGGAACAAAACATGCGCTCATATGCCCCCACCGCTTGCGCGATAAACTGTGTTCCGCATTCCAGATGCACTGATATGAACGGTTCTTTGCAGCCTAGCCGCAACCGTAGTCGTCGTTCGCGACAGAGGCCTTTGCACTGAACTCTGCGCTGCACCAGGCCGCGGCGCATCGCGCGAGAGAAACGTTCTCGTAAGTAATTACGGCGGGAGAGGACAGATGATATCTCGATATGGATGCAGATACAAAGTGAGATGGCTCCCGAGCACGCTCGACGTCCCCGCGGCAGTTCCTGGACGGAACCAAATCCGTCCTCGCGTCCATCATCATTCCTGCCTGCCTTATTCGGCCGTCTTCTTCACCGAGCTTCGCTTGTTTGATCTGCATCCAGTTAGAACATGCACCTTGGGTTCGATTTGCGTGCATACGATTCACCTCCAACGTCGTCAAGGACCGTCAAGGATCCGGCCAAGAGTCGACGATGAGCGTCTAATGCCGGCATCGCGACCGAAATGAATGCCTATGAATACCCCGTGCTGACCCGACTGACAATGTCCATGTCCAAAACCACCATCAACCCTGACCTGTGGGAGTTAATTTGGCGACAAACTTAATTTTGCCAGTCAACGCAGCTAGGCCTACGGGAAGACCCTGACAATCACCGAATAACGGGTAATGGCTGACATTGAAATAGCGTAAAAACCTAACTACACCATACCGCGACCTTGCCATCCGCCCCGGCGCTCACGAGCCACGGCTGTCCCCGGCACCACCGCACCTGCAGCACCCCCAGCCCGTCCTTGATATCATGCCCCCTCAATATCTTCAGCGGCACAATCAGCGGGTCCGTCATCAAGTCGTTGTACACCCGTGCATGGAACACCTGGATCGTCCCGTCGTCCGACGACGACGCAAACAGCGGGTACGTGGGGTGGAAGTGCAGGCTCCGGATGGCCTTCGTGTGGTACCTACAAAGTGCAATAGTAGTACGCATCAGAACGCAGAACGGAGATCGTCATGGCGACGCAACGCACCGGAGGTTCTTGTACGGCTTATCGCTCAGCTCGAGATCGAACCAGCACAGTTTCCGGTCGTACCCGCCCACGATCAGGTGCTCGCCCGACGGGTGCACGTCCATCGACGAGATCCACTTGATGCCCGGCATGAGCGTCTTCAGCAGCTTCTGCTCGGCGAGGTTGTACACCCGCACATAGCGCTGCGTCTAACATGGATCGCGTCAGCTTTGCGTTGCTAGTGTCATTTATCAGGGCAGCACGTACGGCGACAAAGAAGTCCGGCCGAGTGGGATGGAAGAGCACCATCTGAATGGACCCTTTGACCTTCTTGAACGGCGCTTGCGAGTGGCGCCGGGAAAGTTGATGTATCCAGACACTCCCTTGGCCTTCCCTGTTAGCTGTCAAAAAGTCGCTTGTTAGTGTAACATGTCCTAGTACTGATATATTCAAGCGATGGTATAAACCTACAGACTGATGCGAGATAGTCGCCTCGGCGGTGCCATGTTAATTGCCCGGGCAGCCCAGAAAGGGTTGGTAAGTGTATTGTCAGGATCGGCTCGTCCAAAGACGAAGTCGAAGACGACACCCATTTGACAGGAGACGGAGTGGCTGGAGCGGGCGGTAGTGTGGCAGGAGCGAGCAGCGACTGGGTGGCTGCAAACACACTGGGCGGCAAATTCGGGGGCACGACAAAATGCAAGTGATCCTCGCTAGCGCGGAAAACATCAGCACCCCACGTACGACCAGACAAAATGGAAGGAATCCGACTTACACGCCAACAACAAAGAAATTGACATCCGTTCGGGGACACCACTCCACCGACCCCACCTTTGCGCCAAACGTCCACCTCTTGACCTCCCTTCCCACCAGCACCTCCCACAGACTAACCACCCCGCCCTCGTCGCCGCTCACCGCCCACGCGCCATCCGGGCTCACGCTCACGCATCGCGCGCGGCCGTTCGCATGCGCGAAGCTCAGCGCGCGGTAGCTCGGGAACGGCCTGAGGCTGCTCGGGCTCGGCAGCTTCGGGACGAGGCTGTCCGGGTCGAGCTGCAGCTTCGCGCGCTGCACGCGCGGCGCGAGGTACAGGTCGAGCTGCCGGCTGAAGCGCTCCTGGATGAACTGGTCGTACGCGGGCACGAGCCGCAGCGCGCTGTACTTCTGCGGGAGGAAGTTGCGCTCGCGGTCTTCCTTGTCCTGCGCCTCCCATTCTTTGCGCTCTTCCTCCGTGGGGAGGTACTCTTCGGGCGGGTTGTAGGATTCGGCGTTGGTGGGAAGCGGGGGTTTTGGCGCTGGGAGGGGGGCGGGGTGTTGGGAATCGGCGGGCTCGTTCCATATTGAGTAGAATTGAGGTTGGGTGGATTTTGGTTTGGAGGGGACGATACGGCCTTGCCGGATGGCACGCACTATTTTCATTACCTGAAGTGACATTGTAGTGAGCAGAATAAAGAAGCGGCACGGGAACCAACCAACCTTTTTCTTCTCCCATTTACTGGGTACCCAACGTCGTTTGGGCTCGGGAGCAGCAGACAAGGGCATCTGCTCTTGCTTGCTAGTGAACCATTCCACCGTCGGTTCATACGGGTCGTAACTAGCATCAGGCACTTCTCCGGCTTGCAGCCGACGGATTATATCCAGCTCCTCAGCAGTGAGCGGCTTGTCCATCTGCAAGGACTTGTCAAAGGCAGACATCCTAGCACAAATACCGTAAGGTAAGAGAAGTGATCACAAGAGCGGATCACGTACCAGGACTTGGGATCCTCGACGGTCTCCAGGAATTTGTCCAGTTCATCACCTCTCGCGGGTCTGAATATCTTCTTGCCGTTCATATCATACCCTATGTGGGGCATATCATCGTACCAATGTAGAGGAACATTGCCAATGCGGTTCGGGTCCTAACGCAACTTAATCTATCTCAGAGTGCATAGAGGAATAACGCGGGGCTTGCTCACATCCTCGGTGGAAGAGTCGGAGTCATAGTCGGGCTCAATCTCTGGATATACGCGTTTGGGTTGTTTGGTGATGTCGGAGATGACGGTTTTGGGCCTGGGGAAAGGGTGAATATCGTCGTCTGAGCCTGATTCTTCTTCCTCTTCCTCGTCAACTTCCTCCTCGTCCTCACTCTCCTTCTCGCCTTCCCCTTCATCGTATTCTTCCTCAGGGTCGTCGCTGTCGCTCCCAGCATCAATTTCCGGAAACTCGTCCACCCCACCATCATCGGAAGCCGCAGGTTCGTCTCCTTCCTCGTCACTCAACATTTCCAGTCCAACAGCCTGCGACAACTCTTGCTCCTCAGGCTCCGGATCCTCCTCCACAGCCTGTTTCCGCTTCTTGGATTGAGATTTTAGTGCCATTGGCGCCATAGCAAAGCCCGATGGGACGAATTGCCCAGGTAACCCAAAAGCCAGAGACCGAGATGAAGTTGAGTGCTCAGCGAGCTATAATTAGAACCAATTTTTGGCGGAGTGGACGCGCTATCGGGTACTTCCGAGATCTGATCGAGCGGATTGAACGCGTCTTGCTTCGATTGCTTTGAAGCCAACCTCGCTCTGTGGCTCTGTCCTTGGCCTCTTTTGACGTTCACTATGGTACAATACGGAGGGGGTATGCTCATTTTGATTCAGGCAGATATTTCCAATGTCTCAAGTGTCTTTATTATAGATGAAGTCGCTGCCCTTGTCGTGGATATGGGCGCATCCTCTCTTCGCGCAGGATATGCCGGAGATGACACGCCAAAAGCCATTATACCTACATCGTACGGCTACATTACCGAACCCGCCTCTGGGGGAGATGTAACGATGGGTGAAGCGGGGGAAGACGGCCAACCAGCGCGGCCAGCCGCCAAAATGTACATTGGCCAGAACGGCCCCTCGATGTGGAGGGCGAACATGGAAGTCGCGAACCCCATCCAGAACGGAATGAGTGAGTATGAATCCTTTTGTATGGCCGCGGAGGCGACGCTAACGGGAGTCCTACCCAGTACATGATTTCGCGCCCATCCCACCGCTCATATCGCATGCTCTGAGGGATGTCATGCGCTGCAACCCCACTGAACACCCAGTGCTCGTAACCGAGCCCGCCTGGAACACGCCAGCAAACCGCGAACGCATGGCCGAGATCATGTTCGAGGAGTTCCAGGTTCCCGCCTTCTACATCGCGAACACAGGCGTCCTGAATGCGTGAGGATGTCTCCGGCTGGACCGTCGTACACGCACTGACGGACGTGATAAGGAAGTTTCGCCGCAGGGAAGGGCTCAGCGCTGGTGGTTGACATCGGCCAATCCATGGCTAGTGTAACGCCAGTAGTCGATGGATTTGTCCTCCGCAAAGGTCTCTACATTTATACCTTTTTTAGTTGCCTTTCCCTCACAGACTGCCAGGTTTGCAGTACTCCGCCCTCCCCCAACTCGTCCACGCGCACGCCAAACACCTCCTCACTAATCCCACCCAGCACCGCCCAGCCATCCAACTTCTCCCCCACCAACTTATCGCCAGTAAAATGGTACGCCCTACTTATCTCTACGTCACTTTGCCAAGGTCTCTCACTATTCGTAAATCGGAAGCCAGTAGAGCCTGCCCAACCACCCAAATTCACCCTCCGCGAAGACCGCATGGCCAAGACGACCGACAGCTGGCGGATATGGGCCGAGTCGCGGGAGGTGGACGAGTGGATACAGAGCGTCGCGGGCGTGCTCGATCAGGGCTGGAATGAACAGTACGCGTACCCGCCTCTCGTTTCCCCGCATCCTAAGCTGACACCGCACCACAGGGCGGTAATGCAGCGCCCACCACGGCAGTACGAGTTCCCCACCGGGTTCAACACCTACTTCGGCCCCGAGCGGTTCTCCGTCGGCGAGCTCTACTTCAACCACTCCATGATCGCCGTACGCCGCCTCCTCCCCCTTCTCTACTGTCTCCCCACCCATTGACCACCTGTAGGATCGGAATGACAACCTCCCCCGCCCGCTCCCGAGCCTCATCACAGCATGCCTGGGCAACTGCGACCCCGACCTCCGCCAAAACCTACTCGGGAATCTCGTCGTGACCGGCGGCGGGAGTCTCTTCGGTGGCCTGGTCGATCGGCTGGGCAACGAGCTGGGACGGCACTTCCAGGTACGTTTGCATTGTCTTGCCTGGATTGTGGCTTTATCTAACTGCGTTTGCTTTAGGTCAAGATACATGCCCCGGGTAACCCTATCGAACGTCGATACGGCGGGTGGCTCGGAGGGAGTATTCTAGCGAGTCTGGGGACGTTCCATCAGCTTTGGATAAGCAAGGAGGAGTGGCAGGTGAGTTCACTTGTTTGCTCCGCCATGTCCAACATTGACTTGGCTCTGTGGCACAGGACCACGGAAAAGCCATCGTCGGGCAAAGGTGTAAATAGATATGACTTATTGTAATCTATTAGGTGCTCCTGAAGAGCATCTAGCTTTTGGAAGCAACATGAGAAGTCGCTCATCACACCGTGCCTTCGCATATATCCACATAACATCGATTCGCTACTACGCTACGATCGGGGTACACATATAACACACACTCCTTCACGGCTACAGACTACCGAGCGAGCTAATAGGACTGGGACATCAAGTTTGTCTGGATTCTCGAAAGCACAATACAAAAGAATGGTGGTTTTCAAGTTGAAGTTATAACAATAAATATCTCAAAGGAAAGCAGTGGGGGTGGGAGCGGAGGAATCAAAACATAATACGCGCATACGACGAACATGTCCGTTCTGAGACCCAACAGCACCCCTGGCAGACGCTGACTAAATACACACACCCTGAAAATAAGCTCAGCAAGCAAGCACACACGCGACTCGCGAAAAGAAAGTGGATTGGAGGCATGGCGTAACAGACAAGAGAGGAAATTATACAACCGGCCCTCCAACCGTCGTCTACGCCCACGCATCCTAGGTAATCACCCCGTCTTCTCAAAAGACTTCGACCTCGCGCCTCTCCCGCGCGCCCATGAGCATCCCGAGCCCGCCGATGGCCTTCCTTCTGATCCTGGTAGCAAAGTTCTTCGGGCCCAGCTCGTCAGCGCCCGACGGCGGCCCGCGGGGCTGCCTCATCGGCTGGCTGGCCAACCTGTGGCTCACAACCGACTGCTGCGGCGCCGCCCCCTGGGGGGCGGGCCGGCCGATGCCGAGGCCCTCGTAGAGCTTCTTCGCCGCCTCCTCGCGCGGCGAGAGAGGCGGGTTGCTGCCATGGGAGGAGGAAGAGTGCGGCGGGGTGAAGGGCGAAGAGGACTGCGGGGAGCCCGCACCGCCGGATCGAGAGGACGTGGTGGACGCTGTGTCGTCTTCGGCCTCGTTGCCCTCGGTGGTGTCGATCTGGACAGCCGGGAGGGGCTGCTGCACCGCGATGTTGAACTGCAAAGGCCGGGGACGAGCCTTGGTCTGGGTGCTCTCGTTGGGAGGAGGGGAGACGCGCTCGCTCGGCGGGGGGCTGACTTTCACGTTAGGAAGAGACGCGACCCTGTTGCCGCTCAACACGGAGTTGTTGTTTCCTCCGCGTCTCCAAGAGCTCGCGGTGTCGGATTTGGACGGTGCGGGGGCAGTGGCACCGTCGTGGTTCACGTTGTTTGAAGCAAGACTTCCTAGCGACGTCCCGCCGCTAATGACGGTCGTACGCGCCGTAGCAGGCGTGTTCTGGGGGACGTTGAAGCTCAACTCCTGCTCGTCGTTGTACCTAGCTCCCAACGGCGCCATCCGGCCGCCGAACTTTCCGCCCAGGGCCGCAGTCATCGGCACCTGGTCTTCGCCGACGACACCGAGCTGAGACTTGAGCTGGTCGCCCTGGGTGGCACGGCGCATCTGAGCATTGAATGCAGCCGAACGAAAGTCGAACGAGGTCGTGGTCGGGGCGGCAGTGGCAGGAGGGTTGAAACTGGCACTGGCACGCCGACCGTTCTGGGCCTGCTGCTGGCGCTGCGCCTGAGCGAGTAGCTCAGCCTGATACTGCTGAGCCTGCAATGCCTAGATGACGAAGTCGAGTCAGATAGATGATCTAACGAAATGAGAGATAAACTAACCTGAAGCCTGAGGATCTCCATCTGCACCATCTGCATCTGGATAGCCTGCGCCTGGGCTTGAGCCTGCATACCCTGCACACCAAACCCGGTCGCGCTCATGGGGTAGCCTCCGTTGTTCATCTGCATGTTGCCCTGCTGCTGCGAAAAGCGGTTGTTCGGGCCATCGACAGCAGCAGTGAGAGGCTGGCGCCTGTTGACATAGTTGCCGGGGTTGATGTACAGGTTCTGCGCGACCATGTCGGAGATCTCGTCCTCCTCCTCCTCGGGCGGGTATACGGCAGCGTTGAAGCGCGGGACGTTGAAGGACCCGCCGGGGGCTGCGGTGTGGGGGACGTTCTGCATCGGGTTCGAGGAGGAGCGGACGCCGCCCGTGCGGAGACCAGAAAGGAGCGAGGCACGGGGATTGGGAGCAGGAGTGGTAGCCATTGCTTGAGGACTTGCTTGTGAGGGGAAAGAGGTAAAGCGGGAGACGAGGGCAGATTATGAAATTAAACAGCGGGTGACTGGAATGTGGAATACAGCTGGAACCGAGCGCGCTTGTCAGCCGACCAAGGCTCGGGCGGTCTCGATTGCGACGTACTGTGTGCAGCAAGAAGTCTTTTCGGGGACGAAACGAGCAGCTGTGGGCGGACGACGCTCTTTCTGAGGCTTGTCGCGGCGACGTGTAGAGGAGCGCAGCAGAGAAACGGGGAAAGCTGGATCTGACTGGCGGGTGCTGCGAGAAAGACTGGTTTTGCAAAGGGTTATATATAATAGAAAGGATCTTATGTTTCGAGAGAGAAAAGTGAAGACAGTCCACAGACAAACGAGAATATCGGCCCCTACGACAGTCTCAGAGGAAGAGAGCGGTCTGCCCATCACTCGACCCCGACACCGCCATACCCCCGCCGGACCCCGGACACCACCCGGAGCCACTGTGGCGGCCTCGTGCCACATACTGGAGACAATAACGATCTATTCAAATCTACTTCCCCTTCACAGGTACTTCTTCGCGCTGGCTCGCACCCTGCTATCGAACACTGGGCTGCGGATCGGCGTATGCATCGTGTGGAACGGATTTAGCAGCGTCTGCAGAGGCGTTAGAATACCCGGAACGGAGCATGGCCCACCGACAGAGATCGTCCTGGCCGCTAGCGCATCGCGCGCGGACGCACCTTGACATACAGCTCCCAGACCTCGTTGAAGAACGATCTGATGCCATCGTCGTTTTTTGATTCGTGCAGCAGGATGAACTTGAAATCTAGCGCGCATCCGCGCAGCTCCAGCACGCCGCACTCACGTCCGAGACAAGATACTGCTCTTACTGCCCGGGGTCACAAAAGCTGAGACCGTCCATTCATTAAATTTGTCCACAGACTTGAGGTACCTGCGATGCGATGGATAAGGATGCACACGGCAGGCAGCCGCACAAAGGGGAGCGTACGGACATGGCGCTGTCTCTCCTCATCACCTCCTCGATTACGTCCAAGCTCGCGTTCGCGATCATCTGTATGACGTGCCGATCCTGGCCGCCACCGAGGCGCACCGCACCGCCCTGCGCGTGGTGGGCCTGTGTCGCGCTCGAGGCACCGGACAAAGCAGTGAGCGTGCCGGCAAAGGCAGAGGTCGACCATGACGGCAGGTTGGACGCGAGCGGCGACGGCGTGCTCTGCGTCGGCTTCGACGAGTAATGAGTGAGACTGTACAAGGGCGTGTCTGTCGGCGAAAGCAAGAACAAGTGGTGGGACATGGTACCAGGCGACTGCGACAGCGTCCGAGTGGCAGTGATCGGTACGCGTAAACCACGTGGCGCGGCGGCGGATCGTTGGCCGCGGAGACGCGATGCGTGTTGACAACCCTCCCGACCGCGTTTCCTTCTGTCCCGTCATGGACGCCGACGACTCGACCCTCAGCAGGCTCGTAAACCAGTGTAAATCCGGCGGTGTGTGCTTACTTTGGCCTTTTTGGAATACCGGAGTCTGATCTCTTGTCCGTCCAGACGTGGACGCCAAAATAGATGCCGTCACGAAACTGCAGGCCGAGTTTGAGAGCGGTGTGGAGGTGAAGATCCTGCACTCGGAGAGTGATCTCTGGCTGAATCCTTCTTCTCAGATCAACGACCCCGACGCCCTCATTAATGCCCTGAAAGCCTGCCTACGAATATCCCACCAGCACCTCACGACAGCGACTCTATCTGCCCTGCCCCCTCTTCTACCTCTGCTCATATCTCGTCCAGTCCAGTCACGACATGTCAATGCGCAGTCGCCAGCGGCATCCACGTCGTCCTCTACATCTGCCATCATCGATACGTCCACCCTCCGCCATGTCCTTCTCGCTTTCCTCCCTTCCCCTGGCGTCATAGACAGGCTGGGAGACAGCCGGGAGAAGGCAAGAGAGAAGGCACGGGAGACTTTGGTTATACTCGGCGGAATGGCCTTCCGGTCGGGGAGCGGAGCTCTCGCAAAGTCAGGCAGCGGGAAGGGCCCGGAGACACCGCTGCAGATCTTCGAGCGGTACCTGCGCGAGAGCGGGTTCGCGAGCAAAGTATGGAGAGTCCGAGAACAGGTACGTCATAAGACCACTACTACCTCGGTACCATCTTCATACGAGCCCCCCATCAGTCTATCCTCACGCTGGTCCACATCCGGCGCGCCCACCACCTCTTCCCTCTCCGCGCCTACCTCCCGCTCCTCGTCGGCGCCCTCGAAGACGGCGACGCCAACGTGCGAGAATGCGCGCGGCAGTCCGTCGTCGAGCTCTTCACCGGGCCCGGCATCACCGACATGGCGCGCTCCGACCTCAAGAAAGAGCTCACGAAGCAGGGCGTGCGCAAGACGACCGCGGACACGATCCTGACGAGGGTCTTCGCGGGCGGCGGGGCTGGCAGCAACCCGCAGAGCGACGCGGGCTCGGAGGACGGCGACGTGCGCTCGACGGGGCCTGCGGGGCGGAAACCGTACGTCCCGCCCAGCCTGGCGCTGATGAACCGCAGCAAGAGCGGGCCTGCGACTACGACCGCGCGGACGGTGAGTCAGAGCAGCAGCGCGATCCCGAGCCGGCCTGCGAGTCGCGCCGCTATGGTGGTGAGCCCGCCACTCCCGACGCCCACGAGCGAAAGCGGGACCGCGGAGGTGAAGCCTGTCTATGTAAGTGGCTCGGTATGCTTCATTCTGTCTTCCGATTGATGTGTACTCAGATTGCGTCGGGTCGAGATTTGGAGAACGAGTTTGCGGCGATGGAGAAGCCGTTTGAGGGGAAGGAGACTGAGCATAACTGGGTCGCGCGCGATCAGTCTATCACCAGGGTCCGCGGTATGCTCAAGACCGAAGTGCATGTGCAGTACACAGACATATTCTTCGCGCATCTCAAGCAGTTTCTCAACTGGTCCTTGAAGACTGTGCGTATATTTCTAGTATATTTACTAACTATCCTGTTCACGCTCCATACCTGCAGCTTACAAGTCTGAGGACCACCGTGTCGATAAACACATGCTTGATGTACGCGGAGCTTGCGACCACGTTAGGAACGGCTCTAGATCCCTTCTGCGACGTGCTGTATATCAACCTTTTGAAGATGTCGTCGCTGACGAAGAAAATCGTCGCGCAGCAAAGTCAGGACACAGTAACGACCCTCATGCACCACACATCCGCGCAGCCACGGATAATTATCCCCATTCTCTGGACGACGCTGCAAGACAAGAACGTGCAAGCGCGCGTCTACGCCATCGGGCACGTCAAGATTTACATGGAGGTGCATGGCGCCCGCGCGAGGCATGCGATTGAAGCGCACGGCGGTCACGACATACTGGAGAAATGCGTCAAGAAAGGCCTGGCCGATCCGAACCCTGGGGTGCGCGCGGGTAGCAGAGCCTGTTTCTGGTCTTTCGAGGCTGTATGGCACGACAAGGGGCAGGCTATCCTGGCGGCGTCTGACGCTACGGTGCGCAAGGCCTTGGAGAAGGACTGTCCCAACCCGCAAGCCGCGGCAGCGGTATTGCCGCCCAAAACGCCGACTGTCAAGAAGAGCAGCGTCGCGGCGGCCATTGCTGCTACGCGTGCAAAGGCCAAGGCTGTCGCTACTGCCCCGCCCACCCTCCGGCACCAGGCTACCTCGACGGCGCATGCAGTGAGAGCCACGTCTCCCCCTGCTAGCGGACCGACATCTCCCTATGGCAGAGCTACTTCACCTCTAGGCACTGTGTCCAGGTCGATCTCGCCGTCTTCCCCACCCCGCTCGCGTGTCATGTCGACTGGCACGCGCACCATCGGTCGTTCGGCCAGTCACAACGCGGTACCTGGGTCCCAGCATGCCAGGTCGGTGTCAGGACCGGGTATACGAGCAGCGTCACCCACGTCGCCCGTCTCCTCCTCGTCGAGCATGGATCCCTTCGCAGCACGACGTGCATCTCCGCTTGCTTCCTCGACCGCTGGTCGCGGCCTTTCAGAGCTGAGGAAAGCGATGCAGACTGCCTTGCCGTCCTCTCCAGAAAGTACGACCGCTCATTCTACACCTACGCCAGCCGGCGGCCGTGGCTCGACGGAGTTGCGCAGGGCCATGCAAACCGCGTTGCCTGCTTCGCCCGAGAATACAACCGCTCACGTTCCTCGCAGTTCACCGGCTACAGTAGGTAAGCCTACACCCGGTACGAGGCGAGCTCCCCTAGCCTCCGTCGTGCCGTCTGCGACGACTCGACAGTCTCTCCTGATGCCAAAGACCAATGGCAATCTTGACGATGACTCGCTGCTGATGGCTACCCAGATCCCCGTACCAGAAGACAGCGACGAAGACATGGACATTGATCAGAGCATGAACTTGATCTCGTTCTCGACGCCGTATGAGCTCTATCCTCCCCCCGCTCCTCCTTCAGCGACTGATTCGGCTGTGCGGACACCTGTTTCCCCGAAATCGACTGACAACCTGTTATCGTCTCCTCCGAATGAGCGCGTAGTTGAGGATGCCATGCGTGCTCGTGCTGAGCAGGCCGAAAGTGCGGCTGAGCGGCTCCTAGAACTCGTCGACCCCGAGGAGGACGGTGCTCATGCGTCACCTATCCCTCCCTCGCTACTGCCTTCCAGCGAGTCGAGCGGTACAGTGAAAGTCAAGGCGAAGCCAGCTGTCGCAGCCGCTCTCAGGAATGGCATGGCTCCGCCCGCGACCCCAGCGAACAGAAGTACCGCCATCTTGAAGCAGGCGGCGATGTTCAAGGATAGCCCTGCCTACAACGGAAAGTCAGCGTCATTATTAGACGTCCTTCAAGACAAGAAGCACGAGACAGGGTGGTGGCTGAAACGAAAGATTCGTAAGTCAGCAGGCAACTAGTTATGGTGTTTGGCATGCTTAGCTTTTGCAGTCATTGATCAAGGCACTCCTTTGAAGGCTGGCCAGCCGTCTGAGAGAGCTAGCGAGCTGGAGGGATATATCTCGGCTCTTCAAAGTGGTGAAGCCGACGTGCGGACTCTCCAGAAGCTGGCTTTACTTTGCAGCGAGAACCCAGTTGCCAACCCATCGGCTTCTACCGACGGGTTCATGGACCCATCCTCCCCATTCATCGACAAAACCGTCACTTTGTCTACTCGCTCGTCTGAGATCTGGTCGCGGGAGAAAAGATTCAATCGGCTGTTCAACGCGCTGATTCAGTACTTGAATCCGGAACGAGTGAGTAATCCGAACCCAACTCTCAGGATATAAGACTCAGTTCTTTCGTAGTCGGAAGATGAGCTGGAATATGGGCTGATCGTGTTATGGGAAATGCTGGAAAATCAAGCACCCCTCCTTGAGGGCCATGAATCTGATATCTTTTCAGTGATGTTGCAAGTAAGATATTGCAATAAACTAAATGTAGGGCGTCCCAATCCTGTGTTGTTCCAACCTCGTTACCTAAACTGCAATCTCAGGTCTTAGAAGCGACGAACACAATACGGGATGCTGCCACTACGAGGATCGAGCCGGTGTACGGCGTCACAACATTACATGCCAATCTGCGAACCTTCCTCGCTGCACCTGCACCCGCGTTTGCTACTGCAGAGGCCAAGTCAACTATATATGCATTTGGTCTCGTGGCCATGGGTAAATTCATCTTGCGATTACCCGCCGAAATTGTCGAAGATGAACTCCCCCGCCTTCGTGCGACATTAATTGCAGTACGTTCCCCTGCTTCCCCCCTGCAAATTTGACTGAGTTTATGGTCCATATTATTCTAGGCCTTGAATGATACCACGTCACTCATCGTGCGGGAATCTGCGGCGGCCTGCATCATCGCCGCTCAACTAGTCCTACGTGACGAAACCCATCTATTCGCACTACTGGACGGTCTAGCCGACGAAAAGAAGAATCTCCTGACCTACTTGTTCGATAAGCACGGCGCAAGAGGGTTCGAACAGGACTCTTCCGGTATGGAACGTTTGGAGAGGGAAATGAGGAGACTGGATACGAGAACCAGTACGCCCGTAAAACGGGCTTAATAATTTGTGAGGAGAGTCTTTCCTCATTCTTTTTCCTGTATAGAGCAGTCGGAGCAACATGTCCTATAGCCTTGTTTCGTATGTATTCTGTCTTGTTGATTACGCCCTTATCATGCCATGTGTTGTATTTTACCCATGTTTATAAGTAGTTTATGGCACAACTATATGAAGGAGCCCAGAGATTTTTCGGCCTTATTCTTGGTCGCCGGCGTCCTGATTACAGAGTCGGGGTTTATCATTGCGGACTCGACTGGGGTTACAAGGGCACTGTACAACTTAGAAGCGCATGCCCATCCTCTTCAAAATGAAATATCCTGCACCAGCAAACATCCCACCGATATGACCAGCGGTATCAGTTCTACCTCCCTGTAAACAATCATTAAATCTAAAATCATCCAGCTGAAGTGAGGAAAGACCAACCCTGTCAGTGATAGATCTCCATGAGTCATAGACGAAGAGACTCCCTACGACTATCCAAGCTGGACATGGAACGATGCCAAAGATCAGGAGCTCGGCCCTGGGAGCTACGCACGCAAAGAAGGAAATGACCGCGTAAATAGCACCTAAGCAATGTACGATACATATCAGCTAACAAGTCATAAGTATAATTTTCTATCAACTCGGACGTACCACTAGCACCCTGAGAAGAGGTGTCTCTCTTTTTGACTTGCTCACTCCATAGCAAGCTCAACCCGCTTGACAATATCCCACCTAGACGGCACGTCAGTAACCTCTCCCCAGCAGCTGGGTAGACTTCATACCCCCGAGATATAAAGTTAAGAACGAGGCATTCCCGAGAATGGCAATGACGCCAGGTGCCATGAATCCGTAGGTGAAGGCATTGACTAAGAAATGCATCATCTCTTGGTGAGAGAAACAGCAAGTGAGAAGGGTCCACCTAGCCAAGGAGGGCTGGTCAGACATATCCGGGTGTACTATTGACCGCGAACGCACCATCGACCCTCCCGAACGTTGCGCATACTGACGAGGAAGTTCTCGTGCATCCACTTTAGCCAAGTGAAGTCACGGTTCTGTTGCTGGAGTGCATGTCAACAAATCATGCCCCGAGCCTATCTGAAGCCTGAAGGATGTCACTTACAGCGATCCCACTTGCGTAGCCCCATAACAATAATATGGCACCGTTCAGGCCCAAGATACCCCAGAGAAATATGCCTGAAGGCAGGGAGTCGATCGCGCGGCGTATCGATGACTCTGTAGGTCTCCTAGGAGGAGGCGCACTCCCATATCCTCCACTCCTATGTGTGGCTTTCCATACATCCGTCCGTACAAATCTCAGGATCTTAGATGGGGTGCTGAACAGACGAGCAGGAACTGCAGTCGGGACTGCACGTAGCGGGTTACTTCTGCCAAGTTTGAGATGTGCATTTGGGTGAACACCCCTCAGGACCGCATTAGACCATACAGAGAGAGTACGCTGCGTGACGGAGCAATGCAGAGTACCTAGGAGGACATGACGGGCGCTGGCGAAGGTGAGTGTCGCCATCGCGTTAGCGGCGGACGCGTCCCCTTCCAGAAAAGGCGCATGTCATTGCTTCATGGTGCTTCATCGCAAACTAGCCGCTACAGGACTGGCATGAACAGACAGCTAAACCCCAGGACTCTACAATCCTATTGCATTCACGAGACGACCAATACATTGTACCCGATATCATGCAGGAAACACGTTGTGATCCCCACCTTACACGACACCCCGTAGTTCCCAACTTACATATAGATTACAGCAAGCGGAGCTCGACCAACGGACCGACTGATCTTGGACTGTTCAAAGCCACGACGCATTCTGCAACATGAAGGGGCATGCTTACTACTTCGGCCTGGTTTTGAAGGGCGAGTATGTCGCCCAGATCTATTCTGAAGGCGCCTCTCTGTGCAGACCAGAAAATATGTCAGTACAGATAGCTGAGGCGCTCGGGAAATAAACTTATAATATATAGGACGTTGTTACACCTGGGAAACGCTACCTATCAGGAGGATCCCAGCCATGAGATCGCACAGATGACTGACCGAATGAAAACTTCGCCCAGTGCCCCGTTCGATTTGCCATCCTGGAACTCCTCGGTATTGGCCAGCTACAATCGAATCAAACATTACTGAACAACCATAAGACAGTATTGCAGACGTACCTGAAGGTTCATGTACCCATCCGTGCTAACAAGGAACCCTTTGTACTCGAGGCCCCATTTTAGCCTGACGAAGACCGGCTTGCCAGTGAGCTCCTGCATGAAAGGTTTGGGGTTCACCGGGTTTACCTGTACGGTTCGAAACACACATGTATTAGTACGGTTCCAAAGCCAGACACTCGACACACATACCGCAGACATGGTGGCGGGTCAACAAGATGAGGGCACGTGGACCCCGTAACCGCTCAGGCTTCTACCACTTAAGAACACAACTGATTTCGGGTTCACAAACGCCCCTTGGTTTCACTCTCTTGCTTTCATTACAAAACGATGTCGGACAGGGAAGGACCGTCGGGCGCACCCCCCACCGATGAAGATCTTTCGTTGCCAAAGGCCACGGTCACGAAGATGATTAGTGGTACGCGCTCAACGTTCCATGTGGCTCTGTGGCTCAGCTCATGCGCATAATGTGCTCGTAGAATTGCTCCCAAATGATATCTCATGTGCAAAGGAGACGAGAGACTTGGTGATAGAGTGCTGTGTAGGTGAACGAATTCCATGGTTCCTGCCAGAACTTCCGACTGAACGGCTTCACAGAATTTATACACCTAATATCGTCGGAAGCCAATGAGATCTGCGAACAAGAGTCAAAGAAGACCATAGCACCAGAGCACATTATTTCGGCGCTGAAGGTGAGTTTGCAAGCCCCGGCGTAGTCGTCTTGCTTTAATCTCGGCGGAATGCAGCGGCTGGGCTTTGAGTCATTCTTAGCGGAGGTGGAGGACGTTCTGAAGGACCATAAGCAATTACAAAAGGTGCGTCAGCCCTCGGTCACGTCAAGTTTGCCGTATTGAGCAGACTGTGCCAGGATCGGGAGAAGAAAGTTTCCAAGTTCGAGCAGTCTGGGCTCACAGAAGAGGAGCTGCTACAGAAACAACAGGAACTATTTGCCGCAAGCAGAGCTAGGTTTCAACAGGGCCAACCATGATGAGGAATCTACAAGGGGACTACGTGCGAATATACTCATATGTAATGCTAGCGGACTTGTTGTACATTGTATCTCTACATCCTCCCCTCGCGCAGTATATTATTATCTATTCTATAACTTCAACTGGCCTACCCTCGCTCGTAGCTCTTCTAGCCTTCGCTGTGGTGAGTCGTCGTTCCACAGTTCCGAAGCGTCTTCCGCCGCTGACAGGCGTGGCAATCCTTCTTGTTCGATGATAAAAGACGCTGAAACCGTTGCGTAAAATACGGCTGTAGGTCTGTCAGACTGATTCTTGTGCTCACAGGGTTTAGTCTGGCAGACCTTCATAGACGTCCCCAAGACCCAGCAGGAGACCAGCACCAAGTCCGCCTAGGAACCCATTCCCCGCACCTAGAGACAGATCCATGTTACAATTTCAGCATGAAGAATCCAGCGACGGTCTCTTACCAGTGACATCAACCACCTTCTCGGCGTTGTCAGACCAGAAAGCAGGTATCCACTGCCCACCTTTGCGTCGGGTTGTGATGTAAGCGCCCAGACTACCACTCCTTATGATCACCCATCCGTCACCATTCCCACCTACTCCGTATTCCAGAAAGCGAGCAGCTGCCTCCTCTACTGCTGATCTTGTAACAGTAGGACCCATGGACAGGAGGGACAAAGCCTCTTCTGCATTAGGGCTTTGAGTAGAGGTTGCATCAGTTCTGCGGCGTACCCGTTATTATGTCTGAAGAGATAAGCACACCTAAGGATGGATATCGCGGGAAGTACTTCGATGAGGGCTGGCAATTCCTCCGGGACACACCTATCCTTCGGACGCATCAGGATCTGGTCCGAAGTTCCACATTCGGGAGAATACAGACAGGTATGGGCTCGTAAATGGTTATGGGATCCCAGCCTGGCTCTGCGTGAACTTCGGAGGTGATCACGGCAGCTCTCGACGGCGAGCATATAAAGTGCAAGGCCGTCGGATGTGCAAGGCGAGTACCAGCCAAGTCTCGGGGAGTTATCCGGATTCGCGAGGTCAGATACTTGAAGCTGTGGGCCGATGGGTAAGCTATAGACAGTCTCACAGCGCAATACTTACCCTCGTAGATCTCCTTTGTAAGAGTTCAATGCCCGGGTGGTACCACGATCTGCATGATCTCTGAACAACCACATAGTGGGGCCATACGAGTCTAGCTTCTCCTGTATCCAGAGAGGGAAGTCGGTCCCTCGGTCGATGATCATGCCCACTTTCTCCGCTGGTAGCCTGGGATATTGGATTCAGCATGTCCGCGTAACGAGTAGGTTCCGCTATGACATACCAGATGCGGGCCCCGATGCTAGCATACGTGCCTCCGCCGCCAATCTGCTCATGCAACAAGGGTGTAAGAAGTGCCGTCACTGGTAGCAGGTGAAGGATGCCTGGCTTTCCTGGGGCGCGAGAGATCTTCCCGTCGGTCTGCCGTCATCGTCAAGATACTCGAATTCATCGATTATGAACATGCCCAAAGACACGAATTGAGGCCGCTGCGAGGACGCCATGGTAAGTGTCAGGCAAGACGGGTACGAAGAATGAGCAAGGCGCGGAGGCAAGCTCTAACCTGGAAAGCGTCCGAGCGAGATTAGGACGGAATGGGCTGCATCTTGCCGCATCGACGCACCTGCCCTGCCGCTATCTATGCATCATCATCCTTGTCCTTGATCCTGATGCTCAGCTGCATCTAAGACTTGAGCTTTCGCATTCATGCAGGTCTGGGCGGTCGCATACGAGCCCTCTTCTTTCACTGAGGATGTAAGTGAGTCTCGCCTTGGCCGATCTCATGCCGTTTCTCATCTTTGTCCACTGGCTAGCTCTATCAGCGGGCACTCCTGCTCGTCGACCCTGAATCTCGAAGTCGGATACAGCGATTCTACCGCCGTGAAGACGCCTGCCGTGGGTCGGACTCGTTCGTAATGTGCCCTGTGACTCAAACTCTATACAGGATGTCTCATAGGGCGTCTGCTGCCACGCCTGCTCTTGAGGGAGCGAGGCGTGCCCCCCAGCCTAATGGCCTTTGGGGCGACTGAGGCAGGGAAGCCATACATCGCGAGTGTTTTACCAACGCTTTCCATGGCTGCGAGATTCTAAGGTCACAAGCTGCGTCCGCCAGACCAGTTCAGGTCTGGATCCTCCCATCGGGTTCAATGTGTCCCATGACAGTGGTATGGTCGTGATGGCCTTCGCCGAGGGGCGCTACGACCCGCCTGCCTATCGAATTGGCGTGGACGTTATGCAGGTGAAATTGCCACCCAGAGACACTTTTCGGGGGTTTGTACACACTGTCGGGGATCAAGTGCGTGGCTCTTCTTCTAGAATATCTTGCGTTCTCAGCCTGGGCTCCATCCATTCACCCATTTTTCCCATCACAATCCCCCCGGTGGTGCGGTAGCTAACAAGCCTTGAGCACCGCATACTGCTTTCCCCTGAGATCCAGCCTCAGGAAGCGCTCCGCCGATTCTTCCTCCTGTGGACAATGAAAGAAGCCTATACAAAGGCCCTAGGCATCGGGCTGGGTTTCGACTTCCGTCGGGTCGAGTACAATATCCCGGAAGACGTTTTGACCGTTGACGGGGTCATTCCCAAGGGTTGGCTATTTATCGTTTTCGAGCTCTACGAAGAGACGACCCGGTACGTGGGGGTAGTCGCACGATACGCCGGTGGGGATGCCACTCGCATAACTCATTACGATCCGAGCACGAATGGGAAACTGCTGATTCGATACGACGCCATTTCATTCGTCCAGAAAGCTATACAGGAATTAAGTTAATAGGGACGCTAGGTGTAACTAGTGGGATAAAGGGAATAAATATAAACATAATACTCTAACACAGTATACTGCGCGTATTACTGCAAACTTGCGATTATGACGGTAGAGTGAAACGAGAAAGGATGCCCAATATGATGAACGAGGCAAACGTCTAATACGGCACGAAGTCTTCCAAATCCACGAAATCCACGTCCTCCTGGCGGTCGGCGGGAAATCCGAGCGGACTCAGCGGTCGGGCCTGCCAGACACGCTGTTTTTGGTCTTGGGGCTTCAACGAACCCCAGTGGATGCCCGACAGCTCAAACGCTGACAAGTTGGGCAGTCTATCAAGAATATTGGCAACCTGCTGGTACGATTCCTGGCCGGGACGGTCCGTTAGCAGGCGTGGGAAGGCATGCATGGAAGCACTCACAACATTGAGAGGAATTGAATCCATGTCTTCCGCCGTGACTCGGAGGAAGGCGACTGAAGGAAGGTACCGAGTCACGGCTTCGAGAAACGCAATGGGTGACATGCTTGTGGTCGCGCCCAGGACTATTACTGGCATAGTCGATTGACTGAGGCTGCACATGACATCTTCCGTCAAGTCTCCGCCGTACAAGTGTATGCTTTCGACCGGCCGCCCGGGCACAACCTCTCTGGCTTGCTCGGGTGACCCGACGAACTGAACGAGATGTGGGATAGACGTCGATAATAGACACCGCGAAGGTATTGGAGTGGGGCCCGGCATAGAGTCGACTTCGAGCTCGAGAAGAGCGGGTGTGCGGCTCAAGAAAGCGGCAACATCCGAATTAAACGGAAATGAGCACGAAAAGTGCTCCAGACGATGGTATACGCTCTCCTCGGAACAGGGGGGACTGAGCACGGAGCTCATGGTGGGGTGGATGAAGATGCTAAGGGACTTTAAGCCGTGCATTGCAGCCAGAGACTTTTCGAGGAGGCGGTAGAAGGAAGGGAAGATGGGAGCGGAAGCGTCGTCGACGACGATGGAGAAGGACTGGACATGAGAGGCAAGCTCCAGTCTCTTCGCCAAAGTGACGACGACTGAGAGGTTGCGGGCCTGCGAGGAGGCATGGATGTGGCGGTAGAGCAATCGCTCTGCCACCGAATGAAAGGGGGAGGATGCCCGCGAGAGGGCGACCAAGTCGGCGGTGGCGAGGTTTTGGCATACGCCGTCTAAAAGCTCTGGAGGAAGGGTCGAAAGAGACATTGAATGTACAGCAGGAGGACCGCGGCTTTTATTCAGGATGATGGACGCCCGGAAGTATTTATGGGAGATCAACGGCCTAGAAAGATGGCCAGTAGACGTGTGAAGGCCCTGGAACGAAAAGCTCAGGAAAGGCGAAGAACGCGCAGGGAAGCAGGTGCTGTGGATAAATAGGACATGACGAGAGCTCTGCGGACGCTCTATGAAGAGAAGGGGACTCGCCAGGGCTAACAGTGCATGAGGCCGGCTCTCATCACTGCAAACCGAGAATACCGTCCAGTTCCATCCAATGTTACACCCACAAAACGTTACAGCTGGGAAGACCTCCTAACTGGGAAATGTACTATTACGTAATTACTCGGGTTAATATTGGCACGTGGCCAACTTTAACGTGCCTTGCACTTGGGCCTACAAGTCTTGTCCTCTGGCCATGTCAGCATGCACCGTTAAAAAGCTTGGTGCTAGCGCCATCTGCGTAAGACGCGCTCTGTCTTTGCTTACCACACGCTCGGGGGCTCTGCGGACGAATCACTGCGTTAATGCCAGCTATTCGGGTTCGCTCTATTCACGAGGGTTACGTGGAGTCGCGCATTCTGGTACACGCTGGGTCCTCAGGCGCTCGGCTCTTGCAGCTCACTGAGTTATCCTATCGTTCTCTCTTTCAGCCCCATTTCCGCCGCGGACACATACCTGCGGTTCCTTGACGTCAGAGGATGCAGGGACACGCGTTGTCCTGACTGGCTGGATACAGCCTGGACGGTAAATATCTGACGTCTCCGACCCGTGATGACTCTACTCAAGCCCGTCGAACAGCCACGTCAAAAACGTCCTTTTCGTTCCTCTCAGGGACTCGTACGGGACCACCCAATTACTCATCTCTCAAGAGGACTCGTCAGACGACGTCTTTGAGGGCTTACGCAATATATCACCGGAATCAATTGTGCTCATTGAAGGCCGAGTCCGATTGAGGCCGGAGAAGTCACGGCGACCTGTAGGGCTTTACAAACCGGATTCTGATACACGGACAGGACTTGAAAGCGTAACTAGGACCCGACCGGCCAGGTGGAGGTCCTCGTCGACAGATATATTCTGCTGAATGCCGCCAGCCAGAACCTCCCCTTCCTGCCCTCCGACACGAAGCATCTGGTTGGCAGTTCTTCCGCCTCGGCTCTGCCTTAATATCTAATCAGCCCACTATTTATGTAGGCGAATGACGATCTTCGGGCCAAGTATAGATATCTTGATCTCCGACGACCCGCCTTGTCGAACAACCTGAAGAAAAGGAGCCGCGTCGCGCATATAGTGCGGAGCGTCCTCCTGGAGGAAGGTGCGATGCTTCACTGGGAGTCCGCGCGTTCCGTCGTTTACCGTGGATCATCCTGTATTTGTCGTGGATTCCAGATTTCACGGAAGTTGAGACGCCTATTCTGCTCAAATCGACACCGGAGGGTGCACGAGAGTTTCTCGTGCCCACTCGGATATTGACTTCAGGCGACGATGGACATGGACCACAGTTCTACGCTCTGACTCAGTCTCCTCAGCAACCGAAGCAATTACTCATATGCTCCGGAGGAGTAGATAAATATTTCCAGATAGCCAAGTGCTTCAGGGACGAAGACGGACGGAAAGATCGACAGCCGGAGTTTACTCAGATTGATCTGGAGATGGCCTTTGTCTCTTGGGGCAGGGGAGATCAAGACCCAGCCGACTCTTGGCGGATAGGTGGCCATGAAGTCCGGGAGGTTGTCGAGAAAATGATCAAGAGCATATGGCAAGAGGTTGAAGGAGTTACACTTCCAGACAGCTTTGCTGTTATGACATACCTCGAAGCTATGTCTCGTGTAAGTAGGCTACTTGTCAGCATCAGTCATATTCTCAGAAATACCTTATCTTCAGTTCGGGTCCGATAAACCAGACCTGAGATTTGGTCTTGAGGTCAGACCGCCGCACACATCAGCATCGCAATTATTCACAACTGATTAGATTGCAGACGTAACTCATCTATTACCCGAATCACCTCGCGCATCCCTAGAGAGCAGCGGTGATGTTGTGGAATGCATCGTAGCTCGAGGCCCAGATAAGTCACCCTTCTTGAACGCGGCACGTAAGCTCGATTTCGAAAATCGGCAGAACGCGATCATCGTATGTCCATATTATCGCATACGTGACTAGTGACAGCAGTCTCTAAATTTCTTCTTTCCGCAGGAACGCGTTCTGATAAAGGATGACAACCACTCATCGTGGCTCTCCAAGAGCAAAATCATAAGCACTCTGCAAGAGGGGATACTTGATCAAGATCCTCGCGTGAATGACGAGCTCCGCACCAGCGTGGGCGATGTTGTCTGGCTCTCGCGAAGACGCAGAGTGCCCGAGGCATGTTCTTCATAGCGGATAGTTAAGCTTAATCTCAATTTAGCAAACAATGACAGGGAGGTTCCACTACGCTGGGACGGATTCGCCTTGCCATTGCAGACCTAGCGAAGGAGCGAGGTGTGTGCTCTTGTGTAGCAAGGCCTGCGCGTTTGTAACACATGCTCTCGCAGGTGAATATACCCCGACTAGCGATCCCCACTTCCTGTGGGTGACGGAATTTCCGCTGTTCACCCGCGCGGACGAGGACAAGCAATTCTTAGCTCACGGCCGCTGGAGTAGCTCTCACCATCCATTCACGGCTCCGATGTGGCAAGATATCGGAGCGATGTATGAGGGCCGGATTGAATTTGTGAGTCAGTCATCTGTACTACCCGAAGTCATATTCACCCGTAACATTCGCCCGGCAGGTTCGCGGTCAGCACTATGACCTGGTTCTGAACGGGGTCGAGATCGGTGGCGGCTCAGTCAGAGTGCACGACCCTGCCATGCAAGAGTACATATTCTCAAACATCCTGCAGGTTAGTCTACTTTCATCCCGTATCGATCCGAGCGTAGTTTCCTCATGCTTTTTGCGGCGAACGTGCTTCATGAACGACATCATCAGCTGGACGCGAGCGAACAAGCATCGTTTGATCACTTGCTGCATGCGCTAAAGTGCGGCGCACCGCCGCACGGCGGGATGGCTTTGGGTATGTGGACACTTGCGCCACCGCGTCTTCTGCCCACACTGATCGTTATCAACGATCGCGTAGGCTTCGACAGGTTAATGTCCATTCTATGCAAGACGCAATCTATTCGGGACGTTATAGCGTTCCCGAAGACGGGATCAGGGACGGATATGCTCTTTAAGAGCCCCGCACCCGTGCCCAAGGAAATACTATATCAATATGGTATCCAGCCTCGGTAACTGTCAAACCGGGCTAATATGATACATCACATATAGAACACGATTTCATGAATCGTAGTGCACGAGTGGTAAAGCCAAACAAAACAGTCCGAAGGAGTAAACAAAGCGAAGGCAGTGAGATGCAGTAAGAATGCGACTATGATACAGCTATGCCGGTGTGGTCCTCAAGCCGTGGTGTTGTACTTCGATCCGGGGCTAGTTCTTGCGACGGAGAGGACGGCGTAGGGAAGAAAGCAGAATTTCGAGGGGTGAGCTCACTACTCGAAACGTGGTTTGATGACGGCTGGCCAACAGCAGCATACTGTGCCCAACCGCCGTCGTGTTCACGGTCACTGTCAATCCCTGGCGAGGAGACTGTCTTCTCCGAGTCATCCGAACGGTCCGAGTCACTTGTTCCGTTGCGATGATGAGAGGACTCGTCAACGACAGACAGCATGGAACGCAGTTTCGACGAGTCCGATCTTCGTGGGTGGTGCCCTGGAGCAACAGGGAATGGATGCGAGTGCCGTCTAGACATGCCGGAAGGCGGTGACGACGCACGAGGTGGTGACGAGGGAGGTGAGGCTGGCGACGAGAAGTCTCCCCAAGGCGCACCTGTGCCACCGTATATTCCAGTGCTGTGCGTCCACGAATTTGACGGTGTCGGCATAGGCTGCTCAAGGTCGGGTGTCGTCATCATTGGACTGGGCGACGATGAGGCAGGTGCAGTGGACAGCATCGACAAGGGCGGTAATATGCTGAATATTTGGTCTTCGGCTGTCGGTGGACCGTATGAGTCGAATGGATCTGGGACTGATTGCAACATTGGTTCAATCACAGGATCCGACCTATGAAACTCTTGTGAGTTTATGACCGCAGGCTGCATGGGTTTGACATACGCCTTCGATGTGAACCTGTCAAAGACATCCATGGTCGAACGCACGACCAATGATATCTTGCCTTGCACAACATCCCATACCTCCTCTTCGTGCTCCAAGACTTCCTGGTAATGGCGTGCCTTTAGCTCATCCAACTCATCGACTTGTTTCTGAAGCAAGTTGAGGGTCTCTCTAAATGACTGGAGATCTTGGGGAAATTAATGCAATGTGAAATCGCATGGGGAGGACATACGCACTTCGGCCCTTCTTATTCATATTGGCCATCTCGGTTTCCCGTATCATCCTGCTCTTCTCGTGGAGAGCTTTCTCATAAGAAGCTGAGCGTTCCTTGGAAGCAGTTGGTAAAGTGACATGGACAATAGGATATGAGCTCACTGCAACGACGTTCCGGTAATCATCCATATGCTGCCGTAAAGGCTTTTCAAACTTCTCGCCGATGGTACCAGCCTATTCATAGTCTCATAGTATTCGAAGCACCCCCAGAGTCGCAGGATTGCATACATACCAGGACATGCCAATGATTGGCTATGAGATGATGCAATCCTGAAGCTGCCTGGAACCTGGTGCCCGCCTCATACCTCGGTCCCTTCAAACTAAAATTGCCGACATGAGACCCTCGGGCATGGTGGAGGACGTAAGCACGTACGCGGCGCAGGCTTCCATGGCATCAGCAAATGCTGCTGTCGCGGTGGCCATGGTCAGGAGTGTCGACCGGTAGTTGGCACATGTATTCATGAGCTGCGACCGAGACAGAGATGTAGGAGCAGTAACATGGAAACCTAATAAACAAACTCACATTCTCGTATGCCTGCAAGCTCGCCCTCAGGTTCGCCCTCGTAATGATCTTCTCTGGCCCGTCCACTCCGAAGTTCATTGCAGAAGCGTTCGTCGCATCCGAGAACGTAGGCGAAGGCGGTCCTCTCGAGGCACTTCGCTTATTGACATCCGTTGATATTGCGAGGGACCGTAGGGAACGAGGACGAGGCATGTTGGCGCAGTCGCGAGTGCCAGAGGAGTGTACCGGTCAGAGATAGCGCTGCCGCCTGTGCCTAGGAGGCGCAGCCATGTCGGTCATTCAGTCCACGTGCGATCTACCTCGGCAAGTTCCGCCTCTTCATCTGCCTGTAATTTGGCAGCGGTCCACCATTCCTCCCCGTCCTCGAGTGCTTTCCATTATGCTCACCGCTCGCCTGAGGGCGCTGGCACGGTCCATGTCGACCGCCACGACGTCGGCGGCGTCGTACCCATTCTCCAAGGCGGCCATTCTCCCCACACCTCCGCCAGCACCCCCGTCATTGGAATCTCTCCGAAAGGGCAAGGGTCTCATGCCCTATCTTCAAACCGCACTTCCCCCCTCTCAGAAACAGCAATGGCTGGCTACTCTCTTCTCGAAACGCCATCCAGACCGACTCGTGCCGGGCTCGGTGCTAACAGTGACCACCGCTCACGCACCCAACTCCTTCTCCGGTGTACTTCTCTCGATTCGGAGACGCGGGCCCGACACCTCTTTCGTCCTGCGGAACGTCATCCAGAGAATAGGCGTCGAGATGCAGTTCTTTGTGAACTCGCCGCACTTGAAGGACATTAAGATCGTGAAGAGGGCCGGGAGCGGCGGAGGCAAGGCGGGCAGGCGGACACGCAGGGCGAAGTTGTTCTATCTCCGAAACTCGCCGGAGAAGATGACTGCTATTGCCGGGGGTATCAAGGCTTAAAATGTATGTTGCTGGATGTATCACCTTTGAAATGAGTTTTGACCTATACGTTCGTCAGTAGCTACGCCGAGACCGCTAATAGCGGACTTCCGGGGTGGAGGTAGAGGACTTCAGACCGAGCGTAATTCAGTTTTGCGATTCTCAGCGTGATGCCCCTTGGGAATAGCAGGGGTTCGGCGGATGTGTCCTTGCGTGCCAGTCAGAGGATCCAATGAGCACCGTGCACACTTTCTGCATTTCAATCTGACGGCCGAGGAAATAGGGCGGGTTAGACGACGTGTACTAAATAAACTGAAACAACGACCAAGCCGCTTAGCAGGTTTAGCGAGTCGCGAGACTAATATACGTAGCAATATGGGACAGCCGACGAGAGGATGAGTACAAACGCGTTCGAGAAATGATACAAAGGTGCAAACGTCCGGTGTCGACAATCAGAAGCCGCGACCTCTTCCCCTGCAAGCGCCCGTTAGACTATTGGACCGCAGAAGGTCGGCGAAATGTCACTCACCGTCCGCGCGCTCTTGCGTAAGGGCTGAACCCACGATAGCCGCCTCTATGGCCTCCTCTGTAGCCCCCTCTACCCCGCCCACGGTTGAATCCAGGGATGTTAGTCCGTTTTGCTGTCACCTAAGCGCCACTTCATTCAGATAGGACCACAACGAAAATTGTCTTGCATCATCGTACCTTAATTAGGCGACCTCGAAATAGAGAATTATCCAGTGCCAGCGCGGCATCTACATGTTCGGGTTCCGCAAACTCCACGTATGCGTACCTAATTGGCGAGTCATGTAAACATAGGATATCGGCGGACGAGTGGAATCGTGAACGAACCCCTTGGGATGTCCAGTAAATTTGTCGCAAAGAATGGTTACACGGTTGATGACACCACACGCCTGGAAGTGCTGTTGTATTTCTTCCGGCGTTGATCCATAATCAACCTAACGAGCAGCAGCAGCAGCAGCAACAAGCGTACGTGTCAGAGATGGAAGCAGCGGGATCTTTGACAGGACGCACATTCCCAACAAACACACTCCTGCTATCAGCAGCAGCCTTGTCGTCTTCCGTTTCCATCGGCACGCCCGCCTCACTCCCCTGCTCTGAGCCCGACGCCGCCTTCTCCGCGGCCGCTTGCAGCTCTCGCAGCTTTTTCGCCTCCCTCTCCATCTCCTCCACACGCTGCTTCATCAGCTGTATCTCCTGCATTCCGTTGCGGCCATATGAGCACCCTCCACCGTTCCATTCTGACATAGTGGACCTGAAAGAACGTCCTGTCGAGCTGAAACACACACCTTAGACTCGGCCTCCTCATCGTCGTTTATGGCCTGGTCACCATTCATGTGTTGGTCCGCGGCAGCATCGTCGGCCATAGTCGGCGCAGCTCGAGTGCAAGTTCGCTGGGTGCAACGGAGTCCACGCCCGACAGACAGTCAGTCAGTCACAGTGACAGAAAAGACAGTTGCCAAAATGACGCGCGGGGGCACGTGGCCGGCTCAGCCACGGCCAACAACACCAAATACGGGATGGTGGCTGTGCACTCCGTTTTGATTGCAGCGACTTGAAGCTTCCAAGGCTGCATGAGTGGTTCCAGGTGTGTGTCACACAGTGGTCGTTCCTTGCCCGCGTCAAGGGGGGAAAAGTTTCCTAAATGGTATTGAAGGACGCGTAGATCCCATACAATGAAGGGGGGCTCATTCTGTGACCCATAACCCTGTTCACAGGCCGCGCAGCATGACCCCCGCGTGGCGGTACTCTAATGTACGTCAAGCCTGCTCTACCCACAAAGGATTTCCCCGGTAGCAGGGGCAGCAGCATCTTTTTACGAGAAACCGCTCCACGACCTTCGGTGTACATCTCCGCTGCCGCCAGACAGGCATACGAGAAGCGGCCGGCATGTTAAACTCCCATGCTGTCCGGCTGCGAAGCCCCAATCGATGGATTTTGATATTGTTATTCATGTTCGCCCATGCTAAATTGAGGGAACGGGGAAGCGAGTCTGTGTATCTTGGGAGAATATGCAAGCAGACGGCGTAGTAGCATTTGCCGTTGGGTGCACTCGGGGATGAGCGGATCGCGCTAGTTGATAGGTAGAGAAGCAGGTCTGAAGAGTTATTGTAGATGGCCACCTGATGTTATCTATCCTTCTCGGGTGGATCGGCCAAGTTCGCAACGGACAACAAGCGAAGGCTCGGAGCGGAATAGTGGCACAGGGCCGGATATGAAGCCTCCGAATGATCGAAGGAGCGCAAGAGATAATCAGTTAATCGTCGTCCCTGGTCGCGTCGAAAGAAAAAGCAAACACAAAGACACGAACGGATTCGTACCACAAGGTTAATCTTACCACGATGGTTCTGTCGATAGAGAGGGACTGTTGTTAATCGAAACGAAGCATGGTTCAATAAAACGGTTAGGCGCACCGGGTGTAGTTAATACGGGGCTTCTCTGCGTCCATTGCAACAAAGTCCGTGGCTATCGAACGCGCAAGTCAGAGACGTGTTATTATCGCTCACCGAACGACGAGGGACAGTGTAGACGTATGTTCGATTGTGTAGCGACGACCCTTGAATAGCGCCAGGTCTTGTGGCTCGTAAGAGTGCAATGAGGACGTTTCCGGACCGAGTACGTGACAAGCTTGTTTCATACAAGGCAGTGCAAATGGAACTGCCCCCCCTGCTGCGCGCCGCGTCGGAAACCATATGCTGCCGCGTCCTGAGTCCCAACTGCCTAGGGGGAATGCCCACGAGGCGCCAGACGAGTCAAGTCAGCGTATGCCGGTGGAATATAGATAGAAAGTGTGGGTGCTATATAGGGACACGCAAGCAAGTGCCTGGTAAGGAACGTCTGCGCCCACCGCCTGCTCCTGCTCACTGGTCGCTGAATCGAATCTCGGACCTCGGACGCTGCCAGCGCATCTCAGCAGGGCAGCTTCGAGAAGGACTTCCGAGCGCTGAACTAAAGAAGCGCAGGATTTTCTTCCGTGCTCACAACGACCGTTGTATCTCCGGCACGTGGTCGGGATCGCGTGCGATCTCCTGCCCGATCTCACCGCTTACTTATTGGCCGGCTCTGCCCTAACTTGCTCGCACTTTCTCCCCGTTTACCATGGCCTTGCACGACAGCGACGACCACCCGCCCGTCCCCCAGCAGCAGCGAAAGAAGCGCGCCGACGACCAGCAGGCCCTCGCAGGCGACTTGGGGGCCAAGCCGATACAACTGCAGAGGAGGAGGGTCTGGCGTGCTTGCGAGAGCTGCAGGTGAGCAACCGCCGTTAACTCCGACTCAGAACCCGCTGTAACTCCTATTCAAGGCGCAAGAAGATCAAGTGCGACGGCTGCGAGCCGACGTGCTCACAATGCTCAGCTTCGGGATCGCAATGCACCTGGCTGCAGACGAAGGACAGAGCAGCTCTCAGCAGACAGTGAGCGCCGGCGGTTCTCTCTGTTGTCTCACTCCGTTGACCAGTCTCCATATTCCCAGCTACGTCCAGGAGCTCGAAGCTCGCCTTCTTCACATGGAGTCTCTCTTTACACAAGTCACGCCCGTTCTAGAGCAACTCGGTCAAATGGGCCAGATCGAGGGCGTGGACATCGCCGCCCTGTCAAGCATGGTGCCTTCCCAGCCTTCCAGATCAAACCTTGACATCCCAGGGCCAATTCAGCAGTCTTCGTCCGGCGAATGGAACAGCACGAGCTCGCGCACCCCGAATGGCAGCGAGAAGTCCCAGTCTCAGTCGCCGCAACCCATCAAGGTGGAGGACGATGTTTCCGAGTCCTTCGGACAGTTGGCGCTGGACGAGCATGGAAGTATGCGTTGGATAGGAGGTTCCTCGACCATGTCGCTCATACAGTCGTTCCGTGCGTTGACAACGTCGCCTCTTCACCGAGTCTCACCGATGGAGGAGGATCCTCGCGCGCCGGGACCCAGCGCCAATAAACTATATTTCCCGGCTTCCGTTTACTTTGGGAAAGTGCGTGCCTTACCTGGGCCGGAAGAGGTGGAATATCCCGAGCGAGACCTCGCAGATAAACTGGTATGTAGCGCTGTCGATTGTTGCGTGTCAACAAGATTAATTTTCTGGGCAGGTTGAGGCATATTTCTCCCGATTCCATTTCCTCATGCCCATCATCGACAAGCCGACGTTCCTACGCCAGTACGACTTTCTGATGAACCACACGACCGACATAGCTCTGCATCGGAGCGAGACGGCCTTTATTGCCCTTGTATTCGCGGTCTTTGCTTGTGCGGCTCAACTAGTTGACGACCCACGTCTTGCCGTCGAGAACCCCGAGGGAGGCGGCATGGGGATGATCTATTATGAACGGTAATTGACTCATTTGTCATATCTTGTCGATTTGACTGATAGGTCCCATTAGAGCCATGATATTACACTACATTAGTCACGCCTCTATCCAGGTGGCTCACGTACAATGCTTCCTCTTACTCTCGACGTTTCTATGTTCTGTCAACTGCCTACCACAAGCTTGGCTCCTTGTCGGTCAAGCAGTTCGCATAGCCCAAGATCTTGGTTTGCATGTGAGTCTTCGCCGCCTGATATGGCTTCTTCTTTCATTACTGATCGTATCTTATCAGCGATCGCCGCGGAGACTAACCGTTACGCCCATCGAGAAGGAAACTCGTAGGAAGATCTGGTGGGGCGTGTACACGCTCGATCGCATGCTTGCGCTTGCATTAGGCCGTCCTCTTGGCATCGAAGACGCCGACTGCGACGTGGAACTTCCCGTGCAATACGACGATGAACAACTCCCGGAGTATTTCTCGGGTGCCCAGATAAACCAGAGTAGCCCGTCACTTATGGCTGGCTTCAGTGCTCTGGCGGCCTTGTACAAGATTGCCGGGCGCGTTCTTCGCGAAGTTTACTCTGTGGAGGTCTGCAAAGAACATTTGGAGCCGGAGAAACGCCAGGAGGTTTTGCGAGCTGTCGAGTCCCTGGACAGGGATTTGACGAAGTGGTGCGATGACCTGCCGAATGTGTTCAAGTCCGGCCCGCAGAACGAGAAGCAGGTCTCCATGGGCGCTGTTCTATGCAGCCACTACTATTCCATCTTGACTACTCTGCACCGCAATTTCCTACCGGTCAAGACTGGACAAGCAGTTACTACTCGGTCTACTGCTAGAGCCGTCTCCTCAGCCCGCGCTTGTATCCGGTTGGCGCCGTCCATCAAGAACGTCGTTCCCCCTTCGCACCACCTGGCTTTCTTCATACAGCACCTGTTCAGCTCCGCCGTGATTATCTTGCTCTATGCGATGCACGTGACGGACTTGAAGGCTTCGCATGCAGCTATGGAGGAAGTTTCAAGCTGCTTGGTGGCTATCGAGTCATGGGAGGGCTCGTGGCCCGGTGCCCGTAAATGCAAAGAGTTGCTCAGTGACCTGTGCAAGACGGCCACGGCGGCCATTCAATCTGCGGCCGCCAAGAACGTCAATACGCCAAGGTCACCTGCTATGGGTCCCTCTATGGGCCCTATGCCCTCAAGGCGGAGGCACTCGAACCAAATGGCGCCTCCGGACAGGTCCCTGACCGAAAGTGTCATCCGCAACAGGTCACGAAGGGCTTTCTCCCCTGACTCGAACCAGTCCCCGAGGCGAGCTCTCCATTCTGCGCCCTACCCGGTACCAGGTAAGCGGATTGAATTAACTGGGATCGGCATGCGAATTGACTTTCTTGTCGTGCAGCACATAATCGGCCAAGATCCACGTCCCGCAAGCGCGGGCACGATGACACGGACGGATCGCATGACCCACGGGGATCGAACCAATACATGCCTTCGCTCTCAAGTTCTTTCCCAGGGCAGTCTCACATGCCCACACTCAGCCCGCATAGTTCGCCGGCCTCTGTGAACAGTCTGCCCTCCCCCATAATGCCTGTCGTGGACGTACCACAGGACAGGAGCCCTCCCCGGATTATGACGAGTACGAGTTTCGGCCCCATGAATGCCCCGGTCTCTCCCACCAGCGTGCCGTTGCCCCAGTCGCCCCATTTCGATTTCAATTTCGGGATGAACCCGAGTAACCTGAGCCAACCCTCGGTCGAACAGTGGAACGGCAGCAATAATGACATGAACGGCTTGAATCTCTTCTCGTCGACCTCTCATTCATCTAATGGCTGGCAGGGGAACTCGAATTCTCAGAGTAACCTCATGGGCTACGACGGTCTTTCGGGGTTGGGGTTCAACGACATAACTGCTGCGTCCGGCAGTTTCGCCGCCCCGGGTCTCCCGTTCCGCGGGCTCGATTTTATCCGAAATTACAATCCTGGAGGCTATCCTGGAGCCAACGAGCAGGACGGTCTCTGGCAGACGTTTGACGCGGGAGCTTTTCGATACGATCCGGATATGCCATTCGCGATTGGTGATCTGAACCTTGAGAACGGACACGGCCCTCATGGTTAGACACCTTGTTTGTTTCCCTCCTCTTGATTATCATTCTCTTCTACGATCTGACGAAGCACCATGACTTGCCATGTATGTATCTTACTTGTACGACTATGTTACCTGTACGTTTATGTATTCCTACTCTAACACGATAGCTACACCTAGTATGTACGATTCCGCCTCAAGAACAAGGCATGGATATTCTAGTATACCCTATACACGAGGACACTAACACGACACGTGAGATGGACGCGCTGTCAGCTAAGCCTTCGCTGAGAGCTCTGTGTGGCCCACTAAATTGGACGGTACAGTATAAGACACCGAGGGGCATCTCGATCGTTCAGTCTTCTGGTCCCGGCGGGAGCGGTGCTTCTCCGTGCCTGCAAGCCGGAGGCACTTGGGTTGCAGTTGGCTGCCTGTTGAATGTTCCTCTCACGTAGATCATGCGGCCCGGCATCTCCATAGCCGGTCAACTAAGAATGCGGGGAAGGCTTGTGTCGCACTCCTTTTGACCCCAGACGCCCACCATGACTTATCCCACAATCGCCGAGTTGACGTCCCCTTCATCATGGGCTATGGTAGCTTGTGCATCTTAGCTTTGGGGTATCTTCCACTGACTACGTGTTTCCAGATCGAAGACAAGTTCTCCCCGTATGCAAAGGAGACGCTTACGAAACTTATTGCCTTCATGCACGTACGTGATGCGATCGACAGTACATGCGAACTTCCCATTCACCAGCACGTCAGGAGGAGATTCTCCCAGCTCTTAAGGTGGCACATGCTCAATTACCCGCGGACCCGGAGAAGCGTTGGAAGACAGTGATACCGATCATTGAGGAGCTCAAGGTCAAAGCCCGGAAACTAGGTCTGTGGAACCTCTTCCTTAGCAAGGCTCATTACCCCGAGCATGGCGTCCCTTTAACGAACCTGGAGGTGAGTATTCGAAGCACCCAGTTATATCCCACCCATTCACATTAGGTTTACACAGTATGCCGTTATGGCTGAAATCTTGGGGCGGGGAGGCCACTTCGCTCCCCAGGTCGTCAACTGCTCGGCCCCTGATACGGGCAACATGGGTATGTCCTTCCTGGCTATTCTAGACTCCTTTTGTTGAAGTCATTGACGTATCCACCTCACTCAGAGGTCCTGGCTCGGTACGGGAGCCCTGAGCAGCAGAAGAAATGGCTGATACCCCTTCTGAACGGAGAAATCCGCTCGTCATTTGCTATGACCGAGAGATTTGGTCAGTCGGATTCAATACGTCACCTTGACCCCGAGTACCAAGTCTCCCTCTAGTTGCATCTTCTGATGCCACGAACATTCGGACATCTATTCGACAAGAAGGTAACGAGATCGTTATTAACGGCCATAAGTGGTACGTGTACCCGAGCTCGTGTAAGCAGTGCAGGTTTGATATTTCTGATGATTCCGCAGGTGGATCAGCGGTGCCGGCGATCCAAGGACGAAAGTCCATCTGGTGTTGGGGAAGAGCGACCCCAATAATGCTAACACATACTCGCAGCAGAGTATGGTCATCGTGCCTGCCGACACTCCAGGAGTCACGGTTGTACGGCCTATGCAAGTCTTCGGTTACGATGACGCCCCGGAAGGTCATTGCGAAATTATCTACGACAACGTTCGTGTTCCCCTCAGCAACCTCATCTTGGATTGGGGCAAGGGATTCGAGGTAAATTTGAGCTATCCCTGACCCGCTTCAGGTACTGATCCGCGCCGCAGATAATCCAAGGTCGCCTTGGGTAAGCTTGGTTTACTTTTCAGCTTCATTGGTACCTACCATTTCCCCAGGCCAGGGCGCATCCACCACTGTATGAGGTCAATTGGGGCAGCTCAGGCGGCTCTGGACCTGATGATACAGCGCGTCACCGATCCCTCGAGGAAGACATTCGGGAAGTATCTGTACGAACATGGTAAATATCCTTTGCTATCTATATAACCGGGATCGCTTAATATGCACGAATTAAGGCAGCGTTATCGCCGACATAGCGAAATGCCGCGCTGAAATCGAGTCTTCACGTCTCCTGGTACTCAGTGCTGCTAACCAAGTACGTGGAGCCGTCTGAGTTGCACCGTCATGACGCCCTGACCCGCTGTAGATCGACAAGTTCAGAGCCAAGGGAGCCTTGAAGGAAATCGGTATAGCGAAGGTGCGTGCCGCAAGTTAGTGTACGGACACAGGAGCTGATCTCAAACAGTTCGTTGTCCCGTCTATGGCCTGCCGTGTTGTGGACACTGCCATGCAAGCCTTCGGTGCAGAGGGTCTGAGCCAAGATCAACCCCTTGCTCAAGTGTTCGCTGGGCTGCGAACCCTCAGATTGGCAGATGTACGTGGTAATACCGTCTTAATTCTTTAATTGACTGAAGGTGTCTTCCGCTGTCTTGAAGGGTCCTGATGCGGTAAGGATGCATGACTTACTCTACTGACCGCCAAATCTCATGTGTATCGCAGGTACACATCCACCAAATTGGGCGAAGGGAACTGAAACGTTCCTCTGAGATAACTAAGACCGCTGCTGAGATCAAGAAGAAGGAGAATGCACTCCTCGAGAAACATGGCCTGAAGGCTCACCTTTGAGGTGCTGCTATACGCGTCAAACGCGCGTGCACACATCACCGCAGGTGGGCCGCGACGCTGAGAAAGTGTCGCATCTCGTTGTCGCGAAGCTCGAGCACGAGCTGCACACCCATTGTATGGCGGGACGGTGTATGAAGTAACACATTAGTATTGCTGTGGCATTCGAATACTAAGTCGGAGTTCCCACGGACTGTACATAGGCCTCGAAAGATGCCGGTACTGGCCTCGACACGCTCAGTCTGAGTATCGTCTGATTGCTCGTCCTCAATATGTTCTCCTCTGCTGTCCGACGAATGGCCTCTTCGTCCAGGGGTCGCAAGCTTCGTACACGAGCACGGTCTCAACCAGTCGATCGACTCCCGGAGGAGAAAATGCGAGCCCTAATATCTATCTACCACCAAGCCGGTTCCTTCATCACCAAAGATACCCTAGACAAAGCTATCGACGATGCATTTACGCCGTCCCAACTCAGTTACCGTGCCTTGGCCAGCATGAACGAAAGGAACTATGACGAGCTCCTGCTAGAAGTGCAGCAGCGTCGACAGAGTCCTAAAACGTCAGACTGGACGTTTGCCGATCGTCAGAGTGTTGCCTCACCAAGCATATGGGGCGAATCCAAAGCAGACCGAGAGAGAGCTGTAGCTGAGGCTTTATATGGCACGGATGACCTCGTGAAACCTGGGTTGGAGGCTCTGGAGGACCACAAGTGGAGGATACAGAGATCTCTGGAGGAAGAACGGCAGCATAAAGAACTATCACAACCAGGCAAGTAATAGATTCGAACGGAAGGACAAGTGGTGATAATAATGCTGGAATTGGTAGATCGACCTCAGCAGACACCTTAACGGTGCTGATACGGTCATGGGGAGTGTCTTTTGCCAGCAGGCGTTGTAGAGAAAGATCCTACGCATTGTAAGAGGCAGTAGCCCCATGTCCGTCCGCGAGGGATCGCTACTGTCTACATCTTCAATATCGGCAGCTATTAATCTTTCTTCAATCCTAGTGCAGCAGGCAATGTCTTCTCGCATGGTCCCAGAAATAGGAAATCGGCATCTTCGTCTCCTTCACTTCGGTCCAAGTTGAATACTGCTACTTTCCCGCCGTGATCCTGCACTTCGCTTGCGTAACCAGCCGCCGGGTACACCTAAACAGGGTGTCCAGAGTGGTATGGAGGCTCCCATGAAATTGCTTACCGTCGATGAGGTACCCACTACGATGCACAAGTCTGCTTTGTCCACGAGCTTGCTGATGACGTCTAGATAATGTGGTACTTCACCAAACCAGACAACGCCGGGGCGCGCAAGAGCACCGCATTTAGAGCATCTCGGGAGGTCCGTGGTAGGGATTTCCGGCTCTATGTCTGCAGCCTCGACAAACTTTTCGGTACCGGCTAAAGCTGGTACTATGGGAGAAGTGAAGTTCAGCTCCCTGTGACCACACGCGCTGGACGTGCATACGACGTCGAAAAGACGTCCATGCATCTCAAGCAGCACAGGTTGCGAGTCGATGGCTCCTGCGTCGATATCGATACCTGGAACCGAGGAAGGAATGCTGTCCAGTGCTCTTCGACTCAATCCGTCGACGTTTTGAGTTATGAGAGTGAATGTTGACCGAGGCGCAAGCACCTCTCTTATCTGTTTGTTCGAAAATGCAGCGAGAGCCATGTGTGCGGGATTAGGCTCGCATTGCAAAGCCCTCATGAATGCGTCAGTTTGCATTTCGGAGACACAGAGCCTGAGTTACTTCTCCCGACGATAATGATAGAATTGCCAGACGCGAGAGGGGTTATTTCGAAAAGCTTCAGGCGTTGCAAGGCTAATAGCGTCATATTTTCTCCAAAATCCTCCAGCACCTCGGAAAGTTGGGATTCCTTCATTCATGATTACCAGCGCCGCGAGAATCAATGTAAGCAACAACTCAGAAGCCTGGAGACGAACCAGACGCCGCCGACAAGCCTGCCCCAGCTACAGCAATGATGTGCTTGGACTTAGACAAAACTCTTGAGAAGGACGCCATGTCATCGTTTGGCAAATACGTGGACATCGTTGTATGACGATGGGAAGACGGGGCGCGTACACGTCTAGATAGCGCATTACATCACATGACTGATCTGCATAACATGCAACAACAGCAATATCTATCTGGATGTTACAGTCGTGGGATTCATCTGGGTCATAGTACTGTAGCAGCATGACGCACAGGAAGTCTTGCAGCACCCCGCATTAGGGCGAACAAAAGAGAATCCGGGGTTCGGCCACAACACGGTGAGCGGTGTTATTGTCACTCTATGCGGGGCAAGTCCAGTGCAATGGATCACAGTACACCGATAGATGCAGCATCACAGAGAAGCAGAGGGAAGATGAACGAGGACCAGTAGTCGGCTGACAACTTGGAGGACAATGCGGAGTCTCATTTCTCATCCTCAGATTTCGGAGTTTTTGGCATATTAAGTCCAACGCGACGAGCGGTAGCCTCGATCCTCTCCTCCGCTGTGAGATCGACCAGTGGGTTGTATCGCTCGAGCAAAGCCTTCCGGGGAGGTGTCAGTCGAAAATTTCGCAAGAGTCATTGGTATGCACTCACTTTGTACGTCCGCTGTGACCGCAGGAAAGTGACAGCGTTGTCCATATCGTATTCAAAGCTTCTGTGCGCGTCCGGTTCTCTGAGGCGTCGCTCAAACATTGTTCGGAAGGCGGAAGAAATTACTTTATTTCTGTTGGCCCTTGGGGAGATTGACTACTCACCATTTCATATACCGTCTGCGACATAAGGTTTAGTACTCACCCCTTTCGCGAGCTCTCTAACGACGTTACGATACAGCATCCTGTACTGAGCGGTGGCCATGATGTCGTCGGCGTACAGTAGAGAGCGTTCAGAAGTCAGTGGCTTGAGTGGCCAGCTTGACCAGCTGAGTGACAAAGTTACTTGAAAGTTGCGTCGGGCGTACGGAGCGATCACGTGCGAGAGCGCCTATCAGAAAGTGGCCACGAGGGGGACCCACACCTTCGGAGGAGGCACTTCCGGAGCCTCACCGGAATGATAGCGTGTTGTACCGTTGTTTGGCCCTGCAAGTGTAACAACTGAGCTGCCCCATTATGGATATACGTATCATGAATGTGGCCCTTCTGAAACTGCCATGCCACCGCTTGGATCTTCGAGGGGGCTTTGTAAACGATCGATGAGCCGCTGTGGCCCAAAGCGTCGGCAACGAAGCTCGACTTGCGATATATAAGGCTGACCGTGGACGTCGCGTTGACCTTGTTGTTTTCCTCCATCAACCGGCCACTACTGTTTGCTCATCTTTCGGTCTGCCGCTTCACTACATCTCACTAGCTCGACCATGGGCCGTTTTGGCTGCCGCGAAATATGCTATGTCTCTATGGACACTGTGGCTAGCAGCAGTACCTCGACGATTGAACAACCCAGTAACAGCCCCAGGGTACGCGTAATTCGCGTTGTTTTTACGACAATGTCTTACTGATTTGTTCAATTGATCGTTCCCGTAGAAAACCTTTGCACGCACGCGAGAAGCAGGCGGAGAACATGCGGCGACCCCCCCTCCCTTAACGAGACGCAAGTCACTCACCAACATGAAGGGGAAAGCGAAGTCCAGCAAGAAGACGCGCTCCCACATGACCAAGGACAACAAGGAGCGGGTGCAAGAGGCGCAGAAGAAAGACCGCATGAAAACGAGGAAGACGCAAACGCCAACCTGGCTATACGTGGGCAATGTTGGTGGCACTCACATTCAAAATTAGTGGTTGATATTTATTCCTCTTTCAGCTTCATCCCGCGACCACTTCCGCTCAGATCAGGCAACTCTTCCGATCCTGTGGCCGTATAATAGATGCCAGTTGCCGAGTCACTCGAGGCACCATAGGAGCTCAGTCCAAGCATTGGAATCGCAAGCTCAGGGCCCAAGACCGCGTCTATGCTGCCATTCTATTCGCAGATGCAGTCTCAGCTCTTCGCGCTCATGGGCTAGATGGTACCGTTCTGAACGATCTTCCGATGGTGGTACGACTGCAGTCTTGTCCTCAGAACGTGACACAGAGCACTGAATACATTCTTATAAAGGTGTGCTTCAACGCGACGGACCTTCCCGACGCGCAGGAGATCTCTCAGCCGCGAGATACACCGCATGCTGCCGAGAGTACTCCTCCCAGCTTCATTGGGCCTAAATTAGAGGGACTATGGTATGTTCTTCGCCTTTGTTGATTCCCTCTATTCAAGGCTACGCAGGCAAAGAATAACCAGGGAGAAAACAGAGCGGGTCAAGTTCCCAGACGATCCTAAGGCTGACCCCATACCTCGGAACAAAGTTATGGGCATGTCTATGCCACTGACCATTGCCTAATTCACCCACCTAATCCACTCGTGGACGACCTGTACTCCCCCGGACCCTATATATGCTGATTCACAATTCGACATTTCGATCTATCCGCTGATTATTGTATACGGTACATCTCGCCTTTCTTCTACCCGGTCCCTGTATCACTAGCTCCTGTAGATATCTTATACGTTCGTTGCAGTATATATCCTCCATACCTCGTAGCCATACCTTCATTTCCTGATACCTAGCGTCATCCAACAGTGTATACGGTCCCGAATAGATGATTTTGTATATCGTTACGGTATTCATCAAAGTGGCGGAGGCCTGCAGAAGCAATCACGCTAACCGGCGATCAGCTTGCCACGCTGCCTGGTTCGCGGTTGTGGTCGTCTGGTGGTCGCTGGGTTGACTGTTGGCACCAGCTCTAACCGAGCTGCCTCCAGCATCTCATCGTCCTCGCTGCCCGACGCGCCTTATTCTGCCTGCATGGCAGCTGCATAGATATCTACCACTCTTTTGACTAGTCTAAGGTGAGGTCTCTACAACGGTCCAAGTTCGGCTATGCAACGCTGGTGATGGTGCTAAACTGGATCAATTCTCAAGACAAACCTCGTTGTCATTTGACTGTCGAGCAGGAGCTGAGCGCACCGGTTTGGAGTATGCCGAGCAACGCTGCTCTCAACCCCACGTCCATGCCTTTCTTCCCTGGAGGGAGCCGCTCTAGCGAAGAGGAACACGGTTACCGACTATCCCATGGAGAGCATGATCGCACATCCATGTCCTCCTTATCTATATCACCGTCCGAATACCGCTCCGTCAGGTCTTCGCCTAGTCCTCTCGAAGATGGTATACGCCCTATTCAACGATCTTCTTCATCCGGAGAAGATTCGCGTATATCGCCGGGATTGCGGCAAATGCAAGCTGACAGAGGGTATCCGAACATAGAGAATAGGATGGTGCGACAGGCAAGCATGGCAGCCAGTTTCGACACCGTTCCCGAGGGTGAGGACATGCCAGGACCGGAGAAAGGGGTCTTAGTGCCGACTGGTAGCAATCCGCAATCGCGCGACACTTTCTTTACGGGCATGTTCCAGCAGGGTCGCGAGAGGCTGACTCCACCAGTTGCAATGAGCAGCAGCCTGAGGTCCTCATCTTTCCAGAATGGAGGTGCCTTTATCTCGTCTTCACCGGTCTCGTCGTTAGGGTCGGGAAGCCAGTTTGCGGCCTCGGGGGATCACATATCCAGCTTCGAGGCTCAACTCAAAGCTTCACCCTTTCTCAATGATGTCTTGGACAGACTCGTACGATGCGAGTTGTCGACGCGCGAGATGCAGCGCGAACTGGGCGACGTCAGCCGCAAGCTCAGCATTCTCTTGGAGAGGTCTCGGGAGGGAAATGGGCACCCAGAGTTCAACAATCCATTTTCGCCGTCGAGTTTCCCTGGGTCCAACCACTTGAATGGTCCTCGAGCATCCATCGGTGGCATTCCTCCTCACCAGTCGCCACCTGCGGATGATATAACGCAGATCAATCAGAGGCTGAACACTCTGACCACGTCAATCGGGCAGATACTGGCGATCCAAACGCAACAGGTACAGAACATGAGTTCTGCTATCCCTAACAATGCACAGTTTGGTAGCACTACTCCGCAGTTGGAGGCGCCTAATCAGTTGGTGTCTCCTCCAATAACATCGAGTGCTTCCATGTTGGGTCATGGTCTGCCTAGTCGTGGGGATCCGAGGGCACACACTCGTACGCCTAATCCACCGATGCGGACTTGGTCAGCTGGCACCTTGGAATTGCCCGTGCGATCGACTCCGGACATCTCCCCGTCCTTGGGACGACAGGAACCTGGTCTCCGCGACAAGAGACGTTCTGTGATAGGCTTGTCACGTCGGGACTCCGGTGGCGTCAGTAGCTCCTTCCTGCGTTCTCCCCAGCCCACACTTATTCTTCTTTGCTCAGGGCGAGAGCTTCTCTAGTGGTTCGATCCGCGATGGTGGACCGGTGATATCGAAGTGGGAACAGCTTCCTTTAGCTCCAGAGTTGTTGCGTTCTCTGAGTAAATTCGGGTGAGTGGATGCGGAAGAGGATTAACGGCCACCTTACTTACCATTTGACAGCGTTGGTCCTCCGAATAAGATACAGCAGCGAGCTTTGCCCTTCTTGCTCCGCGGTGCAGATATCATAGCGCAGGCTCCTCCAACGCAGGAGCGTATCGCTGCATATGTGATTCCTGCAATTCAAGTGGCTCTCACACACTCGTTGAATCGTCCCCCGAATCGTGGACCTATCGTCCTTATGATCTCCACAACGGTCGATCAGGCCACTCAGGCGCAGCGTATGATTCGCGACTTGGGCGGGCCCATCGGGGTTAGATCCGCTCTTGGAGTTGGAGCAACCAGCATAAATAGCGACCTTAGCCAAGAAGTTCGTCTCCTGCAACAGAGTATACCGCACATTATCTGTGGTACTCCTCAGAAGTTGCACGCACTATTCACCGCCCCAGGCGGCCTCGTGGGGTCAGAAGTACGGTTCTTGGTCATTGACGAAGTGGATCAACTCATTGCGCGCAATCTGCACGAGTTCGTCTTCAACATCGTGAAACTCCTTCCACCTCCTCGCTCTAGGTCTACTCCGAATGCGACTTCTGGTCCGATTGGGACGTCTTCGTTCTCCTCCCCCGAACCCAATCTGCTGAACCCGTTCCCCAACCAGAATCAGAACCGGCGCTTGTCTGGAATAATCACTCCGAACGGCGGGGATGCGGCAGAGGGTGCCTCTATGCAAATAGAACGTCAGACCGCCCTCTTTTCCAACACGGTCCCTCAAGACGTCTTGAACCTTGCATCAGCCATCCAACTCCGTGAACCGGTCCGGGTCCTGGTTCGCCGCGATGGCAATGTCACCCACGCCGACACCAATCAAGGTTCCCGAGGCCTACGCCAGTTCTATTTGTATCTTGCCTTCACTGCTGGTGGAGGTCGCTCAGAGCCGCTACCCCCTCCTGGAAGTGGCTTGGGTATCATAGGCTCGGGGCGTGGCGCTTCAAGCGCGGAAACGGCGCAGGCCAGGGAATGGAAGCTGGACGCTCTCGCCGACCTCTTCCAGGATATAGATGTACCGCAAGCTATAGTGCATGTTGGAGGTATGACTGCCCTCGATTCAGTGGTGTACAAGTTAGCTAGTTGTGGCTTGGAAGCTGTCCCGTTGGTGAGTTTGGCCCATTCAGTCGCGACATGTCTCACCTAACGCCATACTATAGCACGGTGATATGAACGCTGGGACCAAACTGGCCGCTCTCAACAAATTTAGGACTGCAACTGCAAGTATAATGAGGCAGCCGACGACAAAAGTGCTTGTTGTTTACGACGTACAAGTCAAAGCGCCGGAGGTCTCTCACATCCCTCTCATCATTAATTATGGTCTGTACACCCATCGCAGGAAGAGACAGCTCATGAACTTTGGCCTGCAGATCTCCCTAAGGCCGTTGAAGAATACATGTCTCGGTACGTCGATCCTTTTTTCCAGGCTTCATATGTTATATCTAATGTTCACGTTCCAGTATTAACCCAGCGATGGCATCCAATCATGGACGCGCTGGAGTCGTCATTAATTTCGTTACTGCCACCGGTGGTGATGTTGAAATGCTCCGCTCTATCGAATGCCATTACAAGTAAGTCCTGATGGATACCGTCGTGATGTTCGCGACTGATCCGTTATGTTGTAGGATTAAATGCGTGAGTGTCGCCCTGCCTGAGATTCGAATTAACTGACGCCCTGCTTCAGCCTGAGGTTCCTATGAGCCTCCGTGACATCGTCTAACTCTGTTCTGCTCTCTCTGTGTATCCCTATCAGTGCATCTCGCTATCTCTCTCATTTACTCGCTATTATATCTGTGGCGTCACTTTGCGCATCTTCCGTGTTCTATACCCTTCTCGTGCACATCCTAACCAAGATTGTCTTCTATTAGTATTCCTGGGCCTCGCCTGCCTTCCTCACTGTATAGCAGATTTCCTTCTCTTATCGTATGCATTGCGGATCTATATTCATTGTTGGACCACCAGTATTCTTAGGGTGCCATCTTCGCTACAGCACGCGAGTTCTTTTGGTAATACCTGCCGACCAGGACGCCATGCAAGACGGTAAATATGGTCGCTATGGGTAAGACTGAGTCGCGTGTCATTCATAAGAACACACCATCATAGTTGCATGTATCGCACCTGTGGTCAACCGTGCACATTGGCGTCCAGTCCGAGGACGCACTGGAGCCACTAGAATATATGGACAGCCCGCCAATCTCAGTGCCCACGGCCAGCAGCCTTCTACACGCAGCACAATGATTCTGAGCGCGCTCAACCATAGGGAAGTTATTTCAAGCCTCACCTTCCGTCATTTGTGGCATTGAAGGCAACGGCGGTAGCTGCTTCCTTAGTCTTCAGAGTTGCTATCGAGACCCACCTGGAACTGTCGTCGCCCAAGCGCCATATTTTGACCTAATATACGCGTGTAGGAGATCAGTTTCTGTTGATACCTGGTAGTCCTCGATATGACGTACCGTTTTATCTCGGGAAGCTGTGGCAAAGACATCACCTTCCTGCGCCCATGCACAATCCCATATGATGCGTGAATGCGACTTATCAGCTGCGATGGGTGCAAAGCCTAATGACTATAAGACACTGAGCGACGCTTTCGTTACGGAGTACAACTTACTTGAATCAGCTTGGGCTTCGAAGAGTCGCCAGGAACGGTCTCTGGAGACGGTAAGTATGTATCTGTCGTCTGGGCTGAAAGCTATCCGTGTGACTGTTAAGGAGTGACCCTGCAGAGGTTGCCCGACTGGCTGCCATTTGTCCGTTTCATACACTCGAATTACAGCATGCTCTGGTGTAGTAGCTTTGCAGGCTGTGGCGATGAACTTTTTGTTGTTCGACACAGCAAGTGATATGGACTATCGGGGGTGTTAGCTTCTCACAACCGCCAGGTAACGTAGTTCGATGCACCTCATAACCATGCCCGAATACTTTCTCGATCTCAGGCCATAATGTCATGGACGAGAGCTCTCCCTCAAATGGACGTCTGTGGACCGCATTCCAGTCATAAACGGTGCTGACGATGCTGGCTAGTAGACTCTCGTGCGTGAGTCGCACAATCTCGCAGAAATGGTCTGCAATCTCACCATCCTTCACAGCTTTGTTAGATAAACCAAGAGGAGGTACGCTAGCGGCAGCCGGCCGTTCACCCTGTGCCAAGATGAATCTGGGATTTTGTAAGAACCGGAAGCCAATCCTCGCACCTGATCCTCTTGCGAGAACTGTGCCACTTTCAAGCCATTAAGGGCGTCGACGAAAGTTTGAGGGGCTTCAAAAACGCGAACAACTTTCTCATCGGCAATACTGACGAAACGCAGAGGATCCAAGGACGCGACATCGATGAGATCGTAGCCATGAACTTGCGGGCGGGCTAGTTCGTGCCATACAGGACGGCTACTCTCAGGTATCGGTCCGTGAATGCGAGTAGTTTGATCAAGACTGTGAAGATCCATGCGTGAAGTGGAAGATGAATCCATGCACAGGATGTAAATACCTGGCGGAGATGAGATACTCGCCCTGGGGGCTCCATGTAATACCCCTGACGGGTCCATTATGCCCTGTTACAGCGCCGATCTCTTTCCAGACCTCAGCTTCATTGGTGTCAGTAGAAGTGCAGCGCCATCTTCGCCATCCACCCGACCATCCCCACGCCAGAGCATCTGCTCCTCCGCGGGACCATATACCACCGACGAATCCACCAAGCCTTTGGCCACCGACGTCTCCAAAACGCTGCCGATTGATCCACAGAGAACTTGCGTCGCCTTGGGCAGTGGAAATTATTGTAGATGGCGACCAGAGGATGAGAGAAGAATCCGTGGACGTGGAGAGGAGAGTGAGCTCGCGATCCCCCTCCCCATCTGGTCTCCATGAGAGCGAGGTGATGCCTGCTTCGTGTCCTACTAATAGCGCGTCAAAGGTGAGAGAGAATTGTTGGGTCCTGAACAACACGGTAAGCACGAGTATGTCACAATCGTCCTCCTACATATACCACGTGCCTTCCGTCGCGAGATTTGACCGTTAGGACATGTCTCTTCAAGGAAATCTGCCGGTCACCTTCTTCCGCATCTGCAAGGGTGCCTAGAGAACTTTCAAACTCGTCGAGCAATTCGTCGCTCAAAGTCGAGTCCGCTGGACCTGCTCCCTTGGGTACAGCCCTGTAAACTTCGATATTCCACAAGCGTACAGTACTGTCTTGAGACCCAGACGCCAAGATCAAAGGCTGTTCGCCTGAGCGAGGCAGGTGGAAGTCCAAACTTCGCACCCAGTCTTCATGCCCGGACAATACAGCGGAGCGCACGAACTGAATGCTGCGCTATGAGGCTAGATACCCAAAAATGCACTGTCCTTACAGATTCATCGGATCGGGTCCATATTTGCACGTTCTTGTCAGTCCCTCCTATCGCAAGGACCGTGGCTGCTTAGGAAATCAATGTGGGATCAGTTTCAAACGAAGACAGACGAGAATGAATACGGAACCTTGCGCATCTGGCAGAGTAGTTAGTCTGACAGAGAGGGGATATTTGCCACGAAGGTCAATAGTTTGGGTTTCTTCAAACTGCCCATCGGCTGCCACGCAAGAGAGACACCATTTACTGAATATGTCTTCATACTCAATCTCGGACACTCTTACCATCTTTCCATATCTTAACAGAACTATCCGAGGACCCTGTCGCAAGGGTGCCGCCGTGAAAGTGTAGAGTTGATATCGACTTCTGGTGGGACCGAAAGATGTGGGCCGCTTTCCACTGGAACAGGATGTTATTCACGATATACACTAGTTTTACAAAGGCCAATCATGCCTCGTTTTCCTCCTTCCGCCAGCATCGTACATATCCCTTGTCATCTCCACTCAAAAGGAAATCATCACGAGCAAAGTACGTGCAGGTTACGAGTCCTTCGTGCCCAGGCAGAGTCTGGTACACTCCACGGTCGGCCGCATCCTAAGATCCACCTCTTGAGTTATTTGCGACACCGGGTGTGAAAGGGAACAGACAGCGGTATTCCAGAGTGCCACATATCTGGATGAACCGAACGCAACAAGTGAGCTGTTGGACGAGCTTCCGGCTTGGGAATAACGGTTTGCCGAAGCAGATATATATGCTGTCGATATTTCAACGGTCATTGCCCCAAGGCGAAGCAGTCAATAATCTCAAATAAGTTTCCTGGAAGGACTTTTGGACAGCGAAGCAGAAGGGAACAGAAGTCGGACGGTTTCAACTCTTACTATATATGCACCTTGTGGCTGTGCCACAACCCCTGAGCAGCCTGAGCCGTAATTATAAAAAAGCAAATGGTGTCTATTGTGGTAGGCATTGACCCCGCCACTACCTGCCACCTATATGCCATAATATGTAATTCATTGAGATATGCAAGGCGATAGGGGGATGGTCGTGATGATGATGATAATGATGATGATGATGCGTCTCTTCAAAGCATGGTCAAGCCGTTATATGCAGCGTAAAGATATGGAACAATAGAAACCGCTATACCACCCTACACCGCGCTACTTAGCCGTCGGCGCCAACACTGCGCAGCACGGCCTTTCTGCTCTTGCTCTTGCGTGCCCTAAGATGTGAACGGTCCTTGAGAGGAGGCAAGAAACCGAGCGAGGGTTTGATGTCTTTTGGATCTTGCTCCTGTTCCGCAGGCGCCTCCGAACCTGGTGCAGGTGACGGCGGTGGTTGGTCCTCGTCGCCGGGAGTTGCCAGACCGTAATCCAGGCTGTCCTGGTCACCCCAAACAATTGGCATCGGCGACTCGTAGCAGACGATACCCAGTTGCCGGCAGTAGAATTGGACTGCAGCATGGAAGGTCGTTTTGCGTTGCATACGCATCCCCCAATCCTATAATATCGATGTCAGCAAGCTGCGCGCGCCGCTCGCAGTTAATGAACTTACTCTGTTGAACGGTGAAGCAGTGAGAAGTAAATAAGATGAGAAGCTTGCCCTCGAAGATTATTCAAGTATTACTTACTGCCATGTTCTGCAGATCACGGTCGCGAGTAAGCAACAGCGAAAGACTCTGATAATGTCTGTACGTACCCGTTGTGGCCAATACCTATGGTGATCTCCAAGAATCGCTGGTAATCGATATGCTGTAACGTGACGGAAGTACTCGGCTCAAACCATCGATTTTCCTCCGTCTGCAGCCACTCGTTCATGCACTTTTCGAGGGCATCGAGTTTTTCTAGCGGCGTTCTCCAAGCAACCTGCATCGTTAGGTTCTCGAAGGTTTTCTGTGCAAAGTGAGGATCAGTATGCTAAGTCTTGTCGAACTGGATGGGAAGGACACACTCCGCTTCGTCTTGCGTTGACGCTGCGACGAAGAGTCAGTATAGTCACAGCAGCACATGAATACGGCCGACATACATAAACTTGTTGAATAATAAACTGTTGAAATAATACGTCTCTGTGCCGTCTGCTCTGGTGAAGACCGTCTTCGAAAACCAATCATGAGACAAATACTTGAGCTTCGTAGATAAAGCTACTTACCGCAAACAGACCCATTTTCTTCACAACGAAGTTTTCATCTGAAATGCTACCTGTCAGTACACATTCGTGACGCACTGAAGACAGTAGTACCATCGATAAAGCAGCGATCCCCAGTATCGAACGGACTGGATCGATCGTTAGGACACAGCCTAATCCACAAACTAGGCCCGACTCACTGTGTCACAAACAAGAACATGATAGCGTCGAATGCCGAGCTAGCAGCATTCCGGAATATGAAACTGGCGCCAATGAATAACGAGTACAAACTCGTCAAGCTCGTCTCCACGTTGACATTGAAGACGCTCAGCGAGATGAAGAACAGTATGCAGAACGCGAAGAACAAGAGGATCTGGTCAAGGGTCTTGAGAGCGATGCCGACGTCACGCATACTGCGACTAAGCAAGCGCCGTTCCTTGTACACCTTGAGCAGCGTAGTTTTGATCTCGGCGCGGGATAGATCTCCGTTGTTGTCCTTGTCGAAGACTCGGAAGGCTTTGTGCGCCGTTTCAGCGTCGGTGAATGCAGGCTCGAAGTCGGACGGAATGAGGTACTGTCGGCCGGGAACCTTGAAAGTATTGTAGATGGCACGAGCCAACCTCTAGAATGGCAACGCGGTCAGCCTCAAGGGGCACGAAAGAAACGGTCACATAACTAACCTTGGCTTCATGTGCAGAGTTGACATTCCAGCCCAGCCCACTCAAGCCCTCCTCCTTTCCCTTGATATTCCGCGCGTCGTGCAGAACCGCCTTGCCCAGGACCTTCGCAGCCTGCAGCACAACCGCCTCACCATCATCACTCTCCCCGCCCGGGGTTCTGCGTCCTCCAACCGGACTGTTCCGACTCGGCGTCGGTATCCCGAGATTCGGCGGCGCCACCCTCTCTGGCGTCGAGCTGGTGTTGGGAACAGGCGGGTACCGATGCGAGCTGCCCGACGACTCCGCGCTACCGGGGTGGTTCATCGGCGTCGCAGGCTCCGAGTCCGCCAGCACGGGGCTGCCGTGGCGCAGCAGCTGCCGCTTCGCCTTGTCCTCCTTCCTCTCCTGGCTCTTGTCCTTCTTCTTCCCCCACCCGAAACCGGACCGCTGCTTGCCCTTTTTGCGCTTCTCCTTGGGCTCGCCCTCCTCGTCAGAGGGCACCGGGCTCTCTTGCAGCGGCTCTGGTGTGCCCCGCCGCGACCGGTCAAAGTAGTGCTCCGCGCCGAACATTGCAGAGAGCATCGGCGTGCTTCGCGCTTGCCGATGTCCGAAGTGGCTCCGCTTGGGCTTGTAATTCCGGAGTACCTCAATGACCTTGAGAGCTTCCTTGAGCGAGTCGATACGCTCTTGGTACGCGACGCGGTGGAACGCAAATGCGATCGCGTGCGACAGCATCCGCTGCAAGCATATTACGAGGGAGAGGAAAAACAGAAACTCAATCGCTTGGTACACCTGTCGCCGACAAGTGGTGTTGTCATATGAGGCAATTCATAAAAACCACCAGGAAAATAACGCACCCGTGGCGTATATGAGGCCTTACTAGCACTCTCGTCATCCGGATTGTACAAGTCATAGATATACTCGAATAATATGACCCAGCTGACCCACCCGCTCGCAGCATAGAGCAAGGGCTTCAGGGTCTCCTTCACACTATTGTACATCTCCACCCTGCTCTTGACCGTCTCAGACACATGGCCCCAGGAGATCGATATGAACAGCGTGAAGACGCTGGGGACGAGGTCCACGATGAAGCCGAGGAACCAGGAGACAAGTAGATTCGCAGCAGCCCAGAATAGCCATGCGGAAACGTTTTGGACGACATAGTGCCGATGACTTGTGGGGTGCGGTTTATACCAGAAGAATATTAGGAGGATGGGCGGCACTACTAGGAGTGCTGCGAGGAATATGGAGCCAAGCAGAGTGGAAAATAGCAGTGTGAATATTCTGTAACGGAAATGCCATGTTAGCGCACTGTAATTACGGAGAATGCACTATCTCAAGAAACGGAAAAATGTGGTTCGGCCTCTGCTTCGCCTCGGGGTATTCGGCGCACGGAACTGAACGCAGTCAATTGTGCAACTTTGAGTACGAATGCACAGCAGAATTCTGTGCCCCAGACCCCGTATCCTCGCATCACCAGAACACATGTAAGCGATACACACCTTTTGGGGCCCCATCCCTTCTTCACCCTTCTTGTACCCATCTTCTGCTCAAACTTTGCCTCCTCATCCACCAAGTCCTCCTCCGCACTCCAATCATAGTTATCCTCGTCCTCGTACTCATCGTCCGTGTCGGCTCGCGATGGCGCCCTGCTGTGGATCATGTCGGCCGAGTCGAACCTTGGCGCAGACGTCCGGTAACTGGGTGCTGGGCCGTCATGGTCACGTAGGGTCGCCGGGTCTGTGTCCAGGTAGTGCACAGATGGCTTCCGCTCGGTCTTGCCCTTGTCAGAAGGGGGGGCCGACACCGACCGCGCAGCGTCTTCTGACGACCTCTTCACGTCAGAGCTAGACTCGGCGACTCCCGAGCGCCTCTTCTCGTCCGACATGCTGCTACGTGAACCGGGGCTGTACGCGGGGGAAGGCTGGGGTGCGTCGTCCAGGACGATGTGGGACGTGCTGGGATCACGGCGGTACGGGGGCGAGGGGAGGTTGAGCTGGTCGTCCTCGACGTTGAAAAAGGAGGAGTTGTGATGGCGCAGGGGAGGAGGAGGCTCGCGGCGGTCGCCCTTCATCATATCACACCAATGCAGACAAGCCCTTGATTAACGGTGCGGAGAGCCTTCTCTTCACGTGGGCGACCAGAATATGCGACTACAACGCGCTGTCTCCGATCTCAGAAGCACCACAAACTGCCAGGGAAGCGCAGAGTAGCTCGGTCGTCCTCAGCCCAGCTGCGAGTGGGGTCGCCGGAAAGCAGACGACGGTAATAGACACAATCAATAAAAAGGCCGGTCTCTGCTATCACGGTCGTTGCTGGCCGTCGAGACGGCCTCAACTCTCTTTGACAGGACATTTCTGCGAGGGCAGGGCCCGGAGGTATCAGTCTCGGTCCCGCGTGAGACTAGCTGGACTCTTGGCATCCCGGAAACTAAACGCGTCCGATATTCTCGACCGCTCCCAACAATACCAGCTGCGGGATTCCTGAGTGTTGCTGGGAGAAGAAGGACAAGGTAACAAGAGCAACCACCCATCTGCTGTCCTATTGATCACCACGACGAGAAACCTAAAGTCAAACAAACGACACGCCACAAGTCCTTGTGGTCTCCTAGTCAGTCCAGCAGCGACCTTGTCTGACAGGCACACCATCCATCCTGGTGCTCCACACCCTTGAACTGCGGAGAAAGCGCGAACCCTCTTTCTTTATTTTTCCTTCGGTTCCGCCTCCGAAGAGCCTCGGAAACCGTCAAAAATGGGCAAAATTCATTGAGCGTGGCGGCCCTCAGTGATGGCCCGCCTCGCTTACACGCATCATTCGTGTACTGAACGCTCTGCCTTGTTATCCGCCCAATCGCGCTATGCAGGGCGTGCTGCACGGCCCCTATCTGTCATGTAAAGCCTTGGAAACGCTCCCTTCTATGTCAAACGTTCTCTGCTTCAACTCCATCATTTGGCAGCCATGACGTCGCTGCCCAATTGCACCCATAAAACGCACTTGGCGCCAGAACGCGCCGCAACCCCAGATCTATACTTGGACATCCCTCCCAGCGTACCGCATCCCACCCTACTTGCTATTTCGACGTAATTATAATGACTCCTGATCCGCAAGTGAAGAGCATCGAGAAGATCATTGCAAAGGAGGAGAAGCAGGACGAGAAGAACCTCCAGCATGCCATCAAGGATCTCAAGGCGGGCGAGAAGGCAGAGACCAAGGCTCACAAGGCAAGTCGCGGTTTTTCAAATGCGCTTTATTTTTCCATCGCGGATGTACTGATCGTGGCTGGTGGCTTGGGCAGATGGCCGACAAGGCGCAGCACGATCTTGACAAGATCAAGCGCAAAGAGCATGATGCTGCAAAAGCCGTGAACAAGACCAAGGCCGAACATGAGAAGGCGTTAGCAGAGGTTGACAAAGTGCAGAAGAACATCCAGGTAACGCTCCCGCTCTCTATCTTTGCTGGCGCGGCTAGTTAACTATTGACACCTTAGGTGAAGCACCAGCGCGAGGGCCAGCTCGAGGAAGACGTCCGTCGGAAACAGACCCTTGTCAGCGAGCTCCAGCAGAAGAAAGAGCAGAACGACGTGCGTCGTTTCGTACCCTTCACTTTTGTTGTCCGTACTCACACAAAACCCATATAGCAAGTTCGTGAGGCCCATATCGCACAGTTGCACACTCACGGCGCCGCTGGCGTCGGGTCCTTGAACACCTCTCCCGAGTCGACGTCCGGGCCCTCGGCTGCCCAAGGCGGTCCGACTGCCCCCGCCGAGACGGCCTAGATCCAACAACTGTTTCAAGTGCACAGACTCACGTACCTTGGGTTGTATCCCTGTATGATTGTAATTCTTACTGAAATAATGTGAAGCGTAGAATACCTGATGTATCTTGTACTTATATCGACTGTATCTTGTACTTCTGTACCATCGTCCAATGACGCTTTTCGGATTCTCAATACCATATATGACTGCTTCCACCATCTTAGCGACTGTGCGTCAACTGTTAAAAGATGCTACGGATACATTCCCATTATTACAGCCCTACCATACCATGATTACACATATCGTGATCCAGCACCAATCGAAGAGCCCCCTCCTTCCCGCTTAACTTCTCCCGTCATGCAGTATCCACTGGGGCGGCGGGTGCCGCCTGCGCAGGCCCACCGGTCGCTGGTGCGTGCGTAGCTTCGTTTGTCGGCGATGCTTGCCCAGGTCCGTTGGTCGCTGCTGTCTGCGTAGTTCTTGTCGTGCCAGTCGTTCCGGTGGTGGCTGTAGTCGCCGATCGACTAACATTGGCGCCCCCGACAGACCCGTTCTCGGTATTGAACGTAGACCCACCGGCGGGCGAGTGAGAGTGCAGCTCGACGATGCGAGCTTCGCGTTCAGCCTGCCGGGAATATCAAGATGTCAGTGACGTGTGCGGAGGATGATATCTCTTGAGACGTTACATGGTTCTGCTCATTTCTCTCTTTAATCTCTTCCACCAGCGTCTGCTTCCGCTGCTTGCTGTGCGCCATACGCTCTTCGTTCTCTTTCTTGATCTTAGGGCAACCGTCAATGACGCCGCTCTGAAAGCCCAAAACCCGTGGATCGCACCTGCACGCGCTGCTTCGCTTGATCCACGTCTGTCTGTATTCTCTCATAATTATGGGCGGCGTTGTTGATCCCTTTGGCGGTATCGTGTTCCTTGCGGAGAGCTTTATCCAAATCGTGATGAGCCTTGTCCGCCTCCTAAATCACAGCAGCAGTGTAAACGCGAGGTGATAATGTCTGAAGGGCTCATAGTACCTTGTGTGATTTCTCCACGGCGTTGGCTGCTTTCTTCAGGTCTTGAATCGCGTGATTAATATTCTTCTCCTCCTGCTTCTCCTCCTGCACGAGCATCTTCTCGATCTGCTTTACCTGCGGGTCCGGCATGCTGATCCTTGGAAATCAAGAAATATCGGAGTGCGGGTAATTGGGTATCGCGAGGGCTCGGGGTATGGGTATAGCTGGTCTTGCATGGAGCCCGAGGGAGGAGGAGCCTTTATGGGTGCTCTGCGCGTGACGTCATGCCCGATGATGTCGTCCCGGTGAGATGGATCTGGAGGAGATTAGGGCATTTGTGGCGGTGCCTGTCACGGCAGCCGTCACGCACACGCGGACGCTAAAGTTTGCGCGTCCGAGCTCCAACTCACGCGACAAGTCGATGGGCATCCTCGGCATCGGGGTGGACATCGTGCAGCTCTCTCGCATTGCCTCCGTCGTTGCGAGAAGAGGGCAGCGGCATCTCGCGTACAAGATCCTCAGCGCGCGCGAGGCGGAGAATTTCGAGCAGATCATCGAGGCGGCACACCCGGGCGTGCTTGAGCCTGCTGAGGATGAGCTGGGCGCGTCGGTGCAAGGGAGCACGAACTGGACGAGGAGGGTGCGCTACCTGAGCGTGAGGTGCGTGGTGCAGCATCTCACGACCTTTGGCATCATTCTCAGAAGTGCTGGCGTGTAGATGGGCCGTCAAGGAAGCCGCGTACAAGGCGATGAACCGCGTCGTCCGACCTACTTGGAAAGAGTTGACGTACGAGAATACTGGAGGCTGGGGGTCTGATCCTCCCAGGCTTTTGTACCATCCAGAGGACCGAGAGCGCACTAAGAAGATAGGCAAGCTGTTTGTGTCCGTCTCTCATGACGGGAACTACGTCGTTGCGCAAGTGGTCGCTGAGGAGCCGGAGAAAACTGAAGCAACCTTGAAATCGCGTCCTCTTAACAAGTCAAAGCGACGGTACTTGGAAAAGCAAGCGTCCCGTACTTTAAGCCCGCCAGCCAAGGAGGAGCAGAGCTCTTCACCGAAGGATGACTCTCACTCGTTGCAGACGCAAGACTCGCGTCCTTCAGGCAGTCCCTCGGCGGCTAGTACCATGTCCGCATTGATACTCGCGAGACTAGATGCAGCCAAGCGCGGATCTGGATGACCACAACGAGTCTCAATCTAGGAGCGGCGGCTCGCCGACAGCAGTACTTTCTCAAGTCAGAATGGCAAGGCGACTGTGGCGTCTAGCTGGCATGGAGATCCGTGGCCTAGGACCTCTTATTTCCCTTTATTTGAGGATCCGTCTCCCCAGCTCCGACTACAGTTAGCCGTCTGGGCCCTCCCCACTCGGGATGGCCCTTGGCTGGTCGCACACATAGATTCTTTCTCGATTTCGAGTTGTCACTCCCCACTCCAGCTCGCTTGAAGGGCCATACCGCGGACGCACAGATTGGTAGAGGGTTGTGAGAACAGATGGTTTCGCATGTTTGACTCGCTGTGCCATGCATACATGTATAGATGTATAATCCACGTACTACATAGGTTAATAGCTGACTCAGTCTGTCCTGTCAGGCGTGCCCAGACGAGGGAGCACTTTGAAGAGGAATGCATGGTTCACTTGTCATATTCGGGAGCGAAGAAATAGAAGCACGTGAAAAGAGGCAGGCCAGAATTATGAATGCAAATCTGAGATGACTATCTGTGCTGCTTCTGCCTTGATTTGATGGCGTCCCACTGTTGTCTCGACATTTGTTTGGTTCTCATATTCATACAGGTTAAAAAGACGGCCTGAACCCCGTGGGGCCCCCTCGCAAATATTGCTCACAAGAAGGGGAACCGGTAAGTACGCAGACGATCCCCCGGCTGTTCCGCGATATGTCCTTGGTGAAATTTCTTGCGATGGTCGAGCTTTGGTCGAGGTTCAGACATTCGCCGGAAGAGGCAATCAGAACCGGCCCGACGTCCGGATATGGGAAGGATGACGTTCCAGTCTCTCAGGCCGACCGCGATTGGTCCTGATGCGCCTCGATGGTGGGTGACTGCCGTGTATATCTATCTCTCCTCACAACAACTCTAAGTCCCGCCTAACTTATATCCTGTCCCCCAGTCCCCACAAGCGCAATTCAGAATGGCGCATACATCCGCCCTATTCGAGTCCTTCCCGGACACGTCCCAGCGCATCCTCGATGACATCGAAAAGCAGTTCCAGCTCGACCAGAAGGACCTTGTCGAGCTCACGACGCAGTTTTTACGCGAATTCAGCTTGGGTTTGGGAGAGTACAACCATCCGATGGCTATGATGTGCGTGCTCATATTCGCACATTGGTGTTGTTATTTCTCACTTCAGAAGCAAGCCCGACTTTCGTCACAGGTGTTCCGGATGGCACTGAAACTGGGTGAGTTTCGCCCCCAATTCGTCCTCGGTGCGTATCGACTAACGCGCCACGTAGCACATTCCTCGCACTCGATCTCGGTGGGACAAACCTGTGAGTGTTTCTCAGCGCCTCCCTGCGAAAGCCGGCTTACTCAGGCGTGTCCCGCCAGTCGTGTCTGCGAAGTCGAGTTACACGGAGACCACACCTTCACCCTTCGTCAGCAGAAGTACAAAGTCTCAGAGGCCCTCAAGGTCGGCGAGGCGGCCGCGCTGTTTGACTATCTAGCAGATTCCGTCGACGCTTTCCTGACGGACCACGCGTCTTCCGCAACACCGCAAGGCGACGCGGACCTGATTCCACTGGGCCTGACCTTCTCGTTCCCCGTCGAGCAGACAGCCTTGGACGAGGGGAAGATCTTGACATGGACGAAAGGTTTCAATGCAAAAAACTCCATCGGACGAGACGTGGTCAAGCTGTTACAGGACGCGTTCGACCGGAAGCATTTACACGTAAAGTGCGTCGCGCTAATCAATGACGTGCGTTTCCCTCTCGCTGTAGCTCTGGTTCCCGCGCGTAACCATTGCTTATAGACAGTAGGCGCCCTACTCTCGCGCTCCTATACTGCAGGAGCGTCTCTACTAGGCAAGTGTCTTTTGTCTCTGTGCTTCTATCGGATGCTGATGTTGCATCAGGTGCCATCTTCGGTACCGGTACAAACGGTGCCTACCTCGAAGACGTTGCGAAGATCACCAAGCTCGGCAATTCTCCGGCGGCTGCCAAAGGCGGAAAGATGATCGTCAATACGGAATGGGGCGCATTCGACAATGCCGTATGTTTGACTCTTCTTCATCTCATATTTACTCACTCTTATCACGTGACTGGCTTTCTCCATGACAGCGGATAGTGCTCCCCAGTACTCCGTTTGACAACAAGTTGGACCGAGAGTCGATCAATCCGCACTTCCAGGCATTTGAGAAGTTCATTTCCGGGATGTACCTCGGTGAAATCACGCGGAATCTTCTGCTCGCGCTCATGGATGCTACGCCGAAACCTATCTTGTTTGGCGGCAAGAGCACGCCCGCGCTCAATAGCCATTACGGGCTGGACACCGCGGTGATGAGTCAGGTGGAGGAGGCATGGGAGGGTATCCAGGAGAAGGATACCGTGGCGGACATTAAGCAAGGCGACAAGACGATGGAGAGCACGAGCCCGGAGGCGACGGCCATCGTCAACGGAACGGCCGCTCCAGCCCAGCCAAAGGTGACGCTGAAGTTCGACCCTGAGTCGACGCAAAATGAGATGAAGGGCCCGTCGTCGCTGCCGACATCGTATTCGCCGCAGCAGCTGGCGGCGCTCGAGCGGATCAGGGCGGTGCTCGTGCGCGAGCTCGGGTTCCAGTCGCCGGAGGACGTGACGCTAAGGGATGCCGCGATTGTGCGGTGGGCGTGTGCGTTGGTCGCGGAGAGGGCGGCGAAGCTCAGCTCGTGCGCTGTTGCTGCCGTTCTTGTGCAGACCGGGTACGCGAAGTTGGGAGGTGGAGTTGTCGAGGGTGCGGATAAGACCCGAATTGGCGTCGGCGTGGACGGAAGGTACGTGCACTGCGGAATATATCGAACGTAGGAGTACTCAATGCCGGCCCAGTCTCATCCAACATTATCCGAGATTCCAGGCCCAGGTGATGCAGTCGCTGCGTGGTCTCGTAGGGAAGGACGTGGAAGAGCGAGTGGAATTGGGTATGGCGAAAGACGGAAGTGGCGTCGGAGGTGAATATATGCATTCCCTCACACACGGGCGATGTGAACTGACACCTTCCGCGCGAAAACAGCTGCTCTCTGCGCTTTGATGGCCATCAAACAACATCCCGACATCCTAAACCAAGGTTCTTGATTCCCTTAGATATATTGATAGAAATAAGGCATAAAATGTAGCGAAAGAAACTTGTACGTTTAGCGAAGCTTTCTTGTATCCCTGTTGATCTGTGTTCTACGTCTTGGCGCTAGCCGCTCGCTGCTTCAGGGGGTGTGGCCTTTGGGATCCTGATGAGAGACAGTATGAGTTATGGAAGTAAATAATGCCGTGTATTGTAAAAGTCTTGTCAGAATATAGAAAGCAACTCATTCGCTGACGTGGCGCGTAAAACCGTCTGGAAGACGTGTGCGTCGCAGGGGAATAAATAGGCTAGAAATGTAACGGGACAATAGGAGCTAGAGTGGGAGCCATGAGCGCATATACGCGAGCAGCAATTGCAACCATCCTGCTATCATTTCCCGTAGACCTAGAAAGAACCTGGTTCCCACTGCAACGCGAGGGAAAGCCTGATGCTCCCGGTGGGCGCATACTAAGCCCGATACGGATTGTGGCGAATGGGGTATTGCACAATAACATCTACCCCGCTAGTTGAGGAGTGAGCCCAGTGGACACGGCGCATTGCTAGGACGTTGACATGCGATGAAGATCTCCTTCATGCCAAGCTAGGGGCCGAGGGTAGAGGTGGACTTGGATCAGTAAGCACAACAGAAGTGGATATCCAGATTGATATGGCATACTGACCGCATTTGGCACGAGGAAGACTTCTCTAGAATCGGCTACTTCTCTTGTTAGCATACAGAGTTGTACCGCCGCGCATGACGGAGGATATCCAACATCCATATTCAATTCTAGGAGAGCCACCCGAGGGAAGTTGAATGGCTTATACTGCCACTGGACGATAAGCAGTGTCCTGTATGGAGGAAAGACCAGGGCGGTTCGAGACTACTTACTCTGAGCAGTCAATGGCACTGCTTCCAGACCGCACCGCAAAGTCGTGTATTGTGTCATGGACGGCTGCGGTATGGGAACCAGTGTGAGAGGTAGGCAGATTGATGCACAGCTCAGAATGCATTCGAAGGCATATGGTTGGCCGGAGAGGTGTCGAGCCAGGAAAGAGACAGGAAAGTACTCCGTGAGTGAGTGGGCTTGGTCACCGCTTCTCCGCATGAACCGGGTAACCCATGGGATACCATGTATACTGCTGAAGATCTGATGGCTGCGACGGAAGAATCACACGTGAATGATGACGGGCCTTTGTCCAGCCAACAGCCCTGAGCTGCGTGCGCTGCTGTGCAGACAGTGGACTATGGAGTCTGGAGAGCTCCTACGGGAGTCAGATGATGAGACGTAATTGCGGTTCAGCAGCATGAGGAAGTTGTAAGCCTACCGCGGTTGATGCATCTGTTCACAAAGTCTAATGCTTCAGGGGTCTATTCGAGCCGGACTCCCAAAGGCTTTGGGTCGCCTAGTTATACACCATGGCTCAGCACTAGGCGACAGTCCCAAGAGCCAGCGTGGGTCGTATTCCGAAGGGATGAAGGGCGTCTCGAGCGCCCGTCTACGCAGATAGAGAGGTTCCGGTTTAATGAGATCGGCTGAGCCTACAGTTAGACATCCCTGTAAATGAAACATCAACACCAGAGGGGTCAAAGATGCACTGACTGTCACGGGGAATACTGTTCTCGCCCAGGTCAAGCAAGACCCGAGACTTATCTCCGGAGTAGGTTCAAGTATATGTTGACTTGGTAAGATCAAGGCTAGATGCGACTCCTTAGGTAAAAACGACACCTCTTGATTTTGCAATCGGCTGTAGTACTTTCAGGCTCGGTATCTCATGATTTCGGGTTGAAGAAACTTCTGCAGCGAGGTTAGGCAAGTTCGTGCTCATACTGCTAGTATGCCGAGTTGTCTTGAATCGCCTGATCGGTATACCTCAGTGACTTGACCGAGCTACATATCATCACCAGATGTAGAACAGAGGTCACTGCATTTGGATGCGGACCGCCGACCTGTGCAACAGCATGAACTCGAAGTGAGGCGGCCACATCAGACGCGTTGTTTATGGTTGTGTACCCTCGTGGACGCGCCTTGATTGCCACAGGGCTTCTCGCAGCGTTCCCCCCTCTACCGCGCGAAGGACCGTCAACCTACCGCAACAGACGCTTCGTACTATTCGTATCTGCCTCAAGGCTGCCTCGTGTTAGATGCTCTCACAGAAAATGAAGGGCCCATTCTCGATGTTGTCATGGGTGATCTCAACTCTATGCGCCGAGATTAATGTCTTCTATCAGCGGATGTGGAAAGCGTGTTTACTTGAGCGTTAGTACACCTCCAAGGTCCGACTCTGCCTGTTCAGGCGTATACATACTGCTAATTGCGACGACTAGCTATGTCACTCCAATGTATATCCGTGGAATCGCCGCTGGATTCAAGTACGGAAAACCCATCCTGGACGGTCAGAGCTTGCATTATCGATTTGCCCGAGCGGAAAACGGGTTCGACTGGTCCAGGACTACCCTTGAGCTGTCCTCGAGGTTCCGTGGATTCAGCTGCGCTTGTCTCACATTATCCGCATGGTCTAATTTCGGATCGTCGACATATAAATCACTTGCATCCTACGCGTTTTCGCTAACCTCCCCCTCCCTCCGTCTCCCTCCTCCTGGTTCTTAAACCATTAAAATGTCATACTCAGTATACGATGGTGCCAGTCGGCCAGTTACGCCCTACGGCGCGTATGACGGCACGATGTCTCGTCCTATCTCCCGGGCCCGTTCTCGCCATTCGTCCTTCTCGCACGGACAACCTGCCTACTCAGCCTACGGCGGAGGAACAATGTACGACGAGCCGTTGATTTATGATGTAAGTGTCCGCCCACTCAATGAACAGATGCATTGGTGATTGACCCCGCCTTCGTAGGACTATGCCCCTCAGTCATATCCTGGATATGCTACTCCGGGGCGATCATACACACCTGGATATGGTAAGACATCCCAAGCCCATGGTTACGTTGCTTCATAATTGATTGCCTTGTCCAGCCTATGATGACCTCGCAGTCGGGAACTATCAGTACCCGTATACCACAGCTGGTGCTACGACGTACCAACTCGCTCGGACCTCATCCAGACCACAACTGCGGCGGCACTCCTCTTCAGCATCGTACTATCCTAGCGGCTTGCCCATCGGAGATAGCTTTAGGCGCCTCAGCACGAAGTCCATCAAGTTCAGGAGGAAGGGTGCCTTCCGCGCCGGCGTCTCCCTGGGGGAATGTTTGCGCAACGTGCGGCTTTCAGGCAATGATTCATACACATTCTATGATATGAATGTGGACGCGAGGAATAAAATTTATATGCGAGTCTCGGTAAGCGCAGTGTTCTTCCAACATTAAATATTCATTCAATATATGGCATACAGTGGACTGGTTATCGTACGATGACTTATGAGATCCCTATGCAAGGATATGGAGGTCGCATTGATCTCCAGGCCCTTGCAAGGCGGGTCGCGCGAGCCTGCATGCACTATCTGCAGGTATGTATTGTCTTCCTACGACTTGGGAAGGGTATTGATATCTCGAGTTCCCTCAGGCGAATGCCATGCCTATCCCATGGGATCGAGTCGTCCTGCACCATCTCGAGGAAGTCTCGGTCGGTGTGTGGCAACCGGTCATGACAACAAGTTAAAGTCTCGAACTCGCGTCGGCCTTGATCTGTCTGAGTATTTATTCATCTATGTTGTATTAGTATGTCGTCCTACCTACACACGCATCCGGCTCCTTCATCCAGCTACTAGTCTGACGCCGCACGTTCACGTTCACCCACGCCCTGTACGTTCTACAATGTACAATAGAGTGTAGTCGTCGATACCTTGGCTATGGACCTTAGCATTCTGCTTACGACTTATGAAGATAGCGTCATAATGTTATTCGAATTATTTACTACATGCCTACAAGCTAGAGGAGCGGCGGATCAGGAGTACCAATCGCAATTTGCTGGAGCACTGCGTACCGTTCAGTTCTCGATCCTGCGGTTTGCAATCAAAGCCTGTATTTCCGGTTTAATGCTATCCAGAAGATCTTGGGTGGTTTTGGTTGGTTTCCATCCGATGGCCCTCGACCGGTCAGCCCTGCAGCGGGAATTACCTCCCAGATTCTACAACAAGTCCGTACGTCAGACTGTTGCGACCACGACGGAACTTGGAGATTGATAAGACAAATACCCTTAAGCGGAACTTCTGAAACTCTTCATCTGTGAATGTGGTTGGTTCACTCGTGCCACGTCCTAGCTTCGCCAACGCCGCTGAAACTGCCTTGGCCACATCGTACAAGAGGTAGTGGTCGCTTTCACCGAAATAATAACCTTCGCGACCATTGGGTGTCTCCGGGTTTGACAAGGCGCTGTCGAATAGCACCGTGTATAGATCACCAACTTGTGATCCCATTTGATTTCTTCCGGAAATTGAACGAAATACAGTACTCACGCTCATCTATATGTATGCAGGGCCAGATATTCTTCCCTTGGCCGATCACACCGCCCTGTCCTCTGGCCCAACCTGCACGGATAAGCGCAGGGATCTGAATAGACTGAGGATTCGACATGCCGCTGTAGAACAAGGGTCCGCGGGCAATTCCGTAGATCGTGGATGGTAGAACAATATGAGTTCGCACATATCCTAATGAAAGAGCGATGGATGAGGATATGCCCCGAACCTGGTATATATATCTGGATCTGCAACGAACCATTTCTCCCAGCCTCAGAGACAATGACATCCACCGGTCGATGCGGCTGAGAGTGGGGTAATGTCTCGATGAGGTTTATATCAAGGTCAGAGTAAACGTTATCCGTGGCAAACATTCCCCCTGCATTGTCACGGAGGACACCTGTAGTGCTATCATGGTAAGTGCGGATAGCATACACTACTGAGCATTACGCACCAGTTCCTGACTGGAAGTGAAGGGATAGACTTTAAGCCGGTAAGAATGAATGGTACGTAGTCTATGACTTACTGTGTGAATGAGGATCGGCGCCTTGCCTGTCTTATCATATGTTTTCTTCTGACCTCTCAGGATGGCCTCCGCAGCAGGAAGATCATCGCAATCCGCCTACCGGGAAGTGTTCAGTGGAAGTCACATTTGAAAAGACCAAGAACCTGCAGCGGTAATGACAACGTCAGCTTGTGCCGCTGTATTTTCAAGCGTTTCCAGATCTGAATGAGAGCCTATAACGGGGCTGACCCCAAAAGATTTGAGCAACTCGATTTTCTTAGGATCTCTGACGAGGGCTGTGATGTCGAAGGAATCTGTCCTGGGATGCTGAAGGAGGCACTGCAATATCGTGCCGCCTATGTAACCTGATATTTCTGTAAACGCGGAACTCGAAGCTCAGGTCCATGATGACCTACCAGTCGCACCAGTTATGAAAATATGTGTCTTAGCAGACATTGCATGAACCCAGGAGTCTCTCGTACCCAATGAGTATATGTGTTGTACGCCGCTGGCTCCGATATATAAAGGTAGCAGACATTTGTTAGTAAGCCTATGACATGAACTCACGCAGCGTTGACGAGGGATCCAGATTAACTATCTTTGCATGCAGGCACGGAAGAAGACCGAGAAGGGCTCACGGGGACAGTATGCAACAAGGTTGGGATCCTTGCTGAGACAGGTCAGGATCCGAGGTAATTGCGGATCAGCATGACCGCGAGTGGACAAAGATACATATGTCCGTCGAAGCCGTTGCTTTCAGCTGTAGAAAACCAGAGAAAACCAACAAGTTTATTTGAACGACAACCGTAAGCTGGCTTCCTTGATCAAGTAATGTAAGACAGCCCAGTCCGTATGCCGGATTCCCGTATCTTAATAGGAAGACGAGGACTTGCACATCCAGACGCTAAAGCTTAAGAAAAGACTGCATATACTGCCTGGCTTCAGTATTAAGTGTATGCCCTAAAAAGAAGGATAGACTGACCGCTGGAGCAATATATATGCCTGCATCGGAGGGCCCGAAGGTGAGGATTTGGTCATCACTCCCTAAGCTACACAGTCGGAAAGGCCATAGAAGACTCTGGGCAGGCGGGAGGGTATGACAGAAGTGAAAGAATCTTTGGCTCGGGAAGCCGACATGCAGGTAGTGTATAGAAAGGACCCTCGATTTCTTGCTGTGCAAAGCAAAGCCCCGTCTTTACAACAATGCACTCTCTAATTATCCTAATGAACTGCTGTCCCGCCTTCAGGGTTGCTTGAGGGCATATTGCAATTGGACGCACAGCGTACAGTACTGTAAACCAAAGCCCAACTTGAACGCGTCGCGCTTTGTGACAAACGCGTCACTTGTGTCACAAGCGTACGTGACAGGTGACGCTGGAACCCCTTTCGCTGCTCTCACCGTCGCAGGCGTCGGCGCCGCTTTTTGAGACACAGTCTGCTCCGTCGTAGGCCATGAATAAGAATCCTTTTGTTCCGACGCCATCGTATCCGACTCAGCAGCCTCCCTTGCCTCCAGGTCCCCCTCCGGCGGCGCCAGGTCAGCCCGATTACTCTGCATATTGGGCGGCGGCGGCGGCGGCCCAGCACCCGCAACCCCCGACAGTCGGTGCATATAGCCAACAATGGACTGCTCCCCAACCCGCTCAGGCACCACAGCAGTCTGCTCTCTATGCGAATTACGGTTACGGGGGACAGCAAAACTTCCACTGGCAGCAGAATCAGCAACGGCAGCAAGCCCAGCAACACTACCCGCAGCCCCCGCCGCCTGTCGCTCAACCGCCTCCCGCACCCCCTGCACAACCGGCATATAACCCCTATCAGCCCCAGGCTGGTGCCTTCCAACAACCCTATGTTCCCCAGGCTGGTCCGGCACCTCAGCCGCCACCTTACCAGCCACAGGCACCTGCGCCTCAACCGTACTTCCCTCAGCAGTCGCAACAAATGCAAGGGCCTCGTCCGAATATCCACCATGCATCCCCACAACATCTACCACCTGCAAAACGTCAGCGTTTTGACGGCCCTAATCAGCGTGGGCCCATGCCTCCTCAACCCCAGTTTCAGGCGCCACCTCCACCGCCAATGCCTCAACAGCAGGGAATTTATGGCCCTGGAGGCGGTCGTGGTGGACCGCCGGGGAATCAAATGAGCAGAGGCGGAGGTTCGAACGCTCGTGGAGGTCCGTTAAGAGGAGGTAAGAGCGGTTTCATGGGTGGTAATAGAGGTGGGAACATGGGCAACCGTGGTGGTCGTGGTGGTGGCAATATGTATGGCGGTGGTAACCGCGGCGGCGGGGGTGGTGGTCAGCAGCTGAAAGGCCACGGATCCAGGGGTGGCTTCTATGGTAATAAAGACTTTCACAACCGCCGAGGTGGGTCTTTCAATAGTGGACATTCGCACCATCACCCGTCGCAGCAGCAAAATCCTTCAAATAATTCAAGTTTCCGAGGACGGGGGCAAGGTCATTTTACACATACAAATCGGGGTGGAAGACACGATTTTGGTTCCCGAGAGCCTACTTTGGTCTCCAGTGTAAACAGTTCAGTCGGTAAAAAAGAAGAAAACCGGCGGACACTTACCGATTTCAAGATCGTCGGCTTGGAGATCAAGGATCTGGGTTGGACTTGGGGCAGCGTCCCTTCGACTGTCTCCGTGAAGACGGAGTCGAAGCCAGGTCCTACAGGAAGCCCTGAGGATTCTCATATTACCGTGAAAACTGAATCGGGCGAGACAGATACGTCCGGCCAGCGGGCATCTGGTAGCATTGTGAAGTCTAACGCTGCACCTCCCGCTACGGATGCTGCTTCATCTGATATAAAGCCTCCTGCCCCAACCCCTCTGGGGCCGTCGAATTCTGTGTCTTCTTTGGCGGCAGATCAGTCTCCTCCCTCTCGCCTCAGGATATATTTCCATACTCCCGTTTCTGCTGATGATTCTCATCCGATATCGCTTACTTCATCTTTTTCTGCCGGAGCATCTGCTACCTCTGATGTGAGGAAGGGCAAGAGGAAAAAGTTGGAGGATGACGATGGTGATCTTGAGGAACAACGTGCTCGTCCTCCTCCTATTATGAGCGGTGATATGGCTGAGCTGGACACTGGCAGCGTCTCCGCTGTTGGGGACATGGATATCACCGCTAGGAGTAGTGTTGCTCCTAGTGTTACCGAGACTGCCAGTGAGGGCGATTGGCTCATGGCCGCAATCGGAGAGGATGAGGGAGATGACGAGCAGATGCATGCTCATGAAGGGGATCCAGAGGGCACCCAATGGACACAGAACGCCGAAGATGGTGAGCATCCCACCTTTGTTTCCATGAGCATGCGCTTTGCGCAACCATCTCTCTTTCTCGCAAGGGAGACGGACGAATGCGGCTCGTTGCGCATTTATAGAACTGACTGTTCCTTTGTTTTCGCTAAAGGAAATGCTGAAACGGTCGCTGAAGGCGACGGCCACGACGGTGACCCTAGTCCTGATGAGCCCATGACCAACGGTGTCGACGCTCAGGAGCACGTTGACCAAGAAGCAGCAGCAGCAGGTGCTCCCCCTCTTAATGATGGTGGTGCAGATGAACCTGCTCAGTCTCAGGCAGACGGTCCATCCACAACTGAGAATTTTGAGGATTCTAATGCGTCTGGGGCTCCTGCAGCGCCCACGGACCATCAAATGACTATCGAGGGTGATACTGCGCCCCCAGGATCTCCTGCAGATGCTGTACACCGGAATACAGACGCGGCGACCAATGGTGTTGGTTCTGAGGGACCGTATGCCCGTGACGATGGCCACGACTCTGATAATGCTCAGAGGAATGACCCGACGTCGCCCCTGGAGCCTAGTCCTTCGTTTGCTTCCACTGTCCCTGAGTTCTATCAGCAAACCCAGACGCAGGATGTCACGAATTCAGAAATAAGTGGAAAGCAAGACACAGATGAAAACGGGTATTACACTCAAGATCCTTCTGGCGATAGCGAGCAGACACAAGCTGAAACGCAAACACAATACGAATCCCCCGCTTCCAATTCCTTAGCGTCATCTGCTACTTTAACGCTTGCGGACCTCGGGCCCACTGAGGTTCCCAAAGAACCAAAGGGTCCAAAAATGCCTTCAGCTAATCGTCTATCCATCTCTTATGCTTCTGGGACTCGAAGGCTGGTTGTCGACGCTGAGATAGTCGATAAGCTGAAGGTGTACAGAGCTGAGGGTCGGATCGAGGTTTTCATAAGCCTTGAGCGAGAGGAAACCGACGACTTGAAGGGCATCCTGGTTAGTCCGTCTATTTCCCTATGCACGTACAGAACTGACAACCCTTACGGCGCTCAGATTGAGGGTCTTTCTGACACTACCAGATCCTATCTTCCCTTACCTACTCTTGGCGATGCACCTAACTCAGACCCCAGCCTCCCGCCGTTTTCAAAGGCGGCCATCCCATCTCAGCTGATGATGGCCGTATACCTTGATACGGAGCGGCCCTTGTCGGAACCAAAATGGGTTAAGAGCGGAGACGTGCAAGAGTGGTTGAAGAGTATGTTTGGCAGGATGTTTTGGGTGGCTGGCGACGCTGCCGACGGTTGGGAGCGGAGAATCGAGGTGGTTGATCCTGATCCAGTAAGTGGAATTTCGACTCGAATGCGGCGTTTCTAATATCACTACCATAGGCTCCTACTATATGGACTGTGTTAGAGGGTTGGGCAGCCAACTCTCCCGTAGGCACGTCCATCGAGCGTCAGCGCTTCCTCAGGACTCACATGACTGAGACGGACAACATCATGGAGATCCTACTGCGGCTTGTTAGAGGAGAAAGAGCCACGCCGTTCTCGACCACTTCCTCTTCGATCTCAGCGCAAAGCGTGTCGGGGCCACTTCTCGCGGCTCTTTCACCGGGTTCACCACATGGTGCCCAGCAGACACATGTATCCCTCGCTGTCCTAGCGATTTTCAGAATGGCCGTGGAATACGCGAAGAAAGCTGTCGGTGATAAGGGCAAAGGTGAAGCTGAAGAACGTGTCGGTGAAATCATTCGGTGCTTGCCTTCGCATCTCCTCTACAAAAGCCTGGACGGCATATTCAAGGAGTGGAAAGTAGACAAGAAGGGTGGACGTTAATTATAGTGTAGAAGCTTGCATTACCTTATATTGTACAGTTTGTTCCTGGCAACGAGTTGCCTGCACCTTTGCCTCAGAACTTGTGGACAGTTGAAACTTGACGCGTCGGAGAGTACCAACTACTACTTGCCAAATTAGGTCTAGAGCAGCCGCGGACGTATCAGTGCACTTGAAAGACGCGTCACCGTGTACACTTGCATCTTACGCGCCGACCATGGTATGTATACCCTCGCTGAAGCTTGTCTTCTCGCGTTTCTGACGGATATCTGCAGTTCCGCAATACCTACGACTCAGACAACACCGTCTTCTCGCCCCAAGGCCGCCTGCACCAAGTGGAATATGCGCTCGAAGCCGTGAAGCAGGGTTCGGCCGCTGTAGGATTGCGATCCAAGACGCATTCTATTCTGCTGGCTTTGAAGGTTCGTGATTTATTGCATGTTGCTGAGAAGAATTACACAGACTGATCCTACACTGTTAGCGTTCGACGGGAGAGTTAGCGTCGTACCAGCAGAAGATGTTTCGAATAGATGACCATGTTGGGATTGCCATCGCTGGGTTGACGTCTGATGCACGTGTGCTGAGGTGAGTAGTTCTCTAACACACCTACATTTCTTTACGATGGCTAATGCGACTTCTGGCCAGTAATTTCATGCGGCAACAGGCCATGTCCGAACGAATGGTCTTCAACCGGCCCGTACCTGTTAACCGACTAGTCTCTGCCATCGCTGATAGTACGTTACCATTTGAGCGGGCATGTATGACATGCGACTCTAACCCTGGTATTTACAGAGGCTCAGTGGAACACGCAAGAATATGGTCGACGTCCGTATGGTGTCGGCTTCCTTGTTATTGGCCAGGACCAGCTGGGACCTCACCTCTACGAATTTTCACCCTCCGGCAACTCCTATGAGTACTATGCGATGTCCATCGGTGCCCGGAGTCAGAGTGCAAAGACATACTTGGAGAAGCACTACGAGAGCTTTATGGATTGTACGTCATTCTGTTCTTGTCTTCCTCTCTGCCCTATCTCATCACAAAACCAGCCAACCTTGAGGATCTCATCCGGCATGGTCTGCACGCATTACGGGAGACGCTGCAGCAAGATAAGGAGCTCACAATCAACAACACTTCGATAGGAATCGTTGGTCCGGCGAGTGAGCACGAGAAGAATGTGCCTCCTGGGGGCGACTTCCGGATTCTGGAGGGTGAAGTGATTGAGCCGTTCCTCAAAACTATGATTCCCAAAGAGGGCGCAGAGTCTGGGACAGCTGCTGCTGCTCCGGCTGCCGACCCGCAGCCACCAGCAGCTGGGGACGAAGACGTACAGATGGGAGAATAAATGTATACTAAGTTGTTTTGTCTGCTTTCCAATTTGTTACTTTTTTCCAGGATCAGGGCGAATGTTTAGCAGTGAATGAGTGAGTGGGGCTATCTAAAGGCTACAAGAATCACAAATGAAGGGACCCAAAATACGTCTGCTGCTATGGCTGCCGTTGTCTCCGCGCTGCCACAGAAGCCTGTCTCCACGCCCTCGCCGCCGCTCCTGGTCTCCGTAGTGCCACCAATAAATGGATCATACTTGTCAACAGCGCGACACTGCCAGCTTGATGACACGCGGCGAGTGACACGGGCACTAGGTATAAGAGGGTGGAGATCCCCAAGATTACTTGGATATTGGCCACGCCAAACGCTATCGCTGCGAAGCGTTTGGCCATGGGCGGTAGTATGGCCTTGTAAGCTGGCCTTAAGGAAGCCGCGTACAATGCGGCAGTGGCAAAGTAGGTGGTGGTAGCCTGCGGCCCATCGAAACGGAGTCAGAAGTCGGACACGGCACCGAGGGCGAATATGCCACGCACCAAGACACGATGATCGAATTGGACTGTGGTCGGATTTTCGAAGACGTTCCGCCAAAGGTCAGACCGACTGGGATCCTTGGCATATGCGGGGTCGAATAATTCATTCGTAGGAGGTACCAAACGGCCTCCCATATACGGGAACTCGTTGTATACAAGGCCAGCGTCTAATCCCGCCACAAAGGCCCCTAGGAATGATCAAAGTAAGCATGTGCACGACAGAACGTGCCTGGTCTCGGGGATTTACCTGATAAGGCTGTTAGAAATACTAGGCCAGTCAACGCCCAAGAAGCTCTCGAGAACCGCTTGACCAGAGGATTCGAGAGGATGGTCTGCCAGGATGTACCATCCTTGAGCCCACTCCAAACTCCCTTGTTCGCATACTTCCAATCAAAAAGAACAGCCAGACCGGTTCCGATCATGCCCGCATACAGAACGAATGCCGTGCCCAGATGCGCCGCCAGACGGTACTGCGACACGCGTGGGACGGAGTTGGTCTCGACGATGGAGTCTTCCAAGCCCGACTTGACCATGTACCATCCAAGGAGACCTTGCACGCCGATCAGGGCCGCCATTGCGGTCAGCTGCCGTGGCATTGATGCGGAGAGCTGCTTCCGGAGAGCGAAGTAGGCCAGTGGGACGACGAAGGCGATGCCAATGATTCGCCCGAGGACGCGATGACCCCATTCCATGTAAAATATGCTCTTGAACTCATCCACCGTCATGGAGTGATTCAGCCTTCACAGTCATGTCTGTATGTGAGATGCCGATGTACGTCCATGAGGTGCACGCACATCTTAAACTCGGGAGTAGCCTTGTACTTCTCGAATTCTACATTCCAGTCATCCTGAGTCAAGGGGGGCAGAATTCCAGTGATAGGCTTCCACTCAGTAATACTTAGTCCGGACTCTGTAAGGCGGGTTACGCCTCCGACTACAATGACCGCAAATACCAGGGCAGACGAGAACATGAGCCATCGTCCCACCGCTGGCGGAGAAAGCGTTGGCAAGGGCGGTGCGGTACCAGCATTAGCAGCACCAGCATCCAGCTTAGCACTGTTGGAAGAGAAGAATCGGGGCTCGAGAGGCTTGACTTTGCCTGATGCAAAAGCCTGTTTCGCGATTACGGAGTAGCATCTTGAAGGCCGTGCAGCCCTTCGGAGCCTTCTTGCTGCGATAGTGAAGACTTCCGTGTGCGACCTCAAGGTCAACCCGGATGGCGTACTATGGATTGCCCTTAGGCATGGTAAAACCCTCTTCGCTGCGAACGGTTTGACGTTGGCTGCGCTGGCGAACACCGCGAATAACATCGAGGCGTAAGCCCACTGGCGACCTCCGTTTGAGATGAAGGCCGGAGACGGTTGGGTTGGGGAGAAAGCTGTCTGCCCTGACTTGTCTGACCATTTCGGAGAGTCTGGATTGGCGAGAAACCCCGGACGTCCCCGGCGGCACAGGCGTCCACATCCGCATTCTGGACCTTCGTCTCTCCATCGCTCGAGTCTCGGAATGTATGCGCTTACTCGCAGTCTACTCCGACCCGGCCTGTTCCCTCGTACGAACCTGAGGGCATTGTCCACGCCACCACCCTCTCAGGCCCCTGCGCTAGACGAGGGAGAGCGGAACATATACAACAAACTGAAAGAGAAGTTCAACCCGTCCGAATTGGTCGTTCAAGACGTGTCAGGTCTGTTTTCAAGCCAACTGGAGGCTTGAGCCGCTCTGGTATGTGCCTCGGGATTAAGACTGTGTCGCTGCCTTTAGGGGGTTGCGGATCGTTCTATGCCATCACTATTGCAAGTGATGCTTTCAAGGGGTTACCCATGGTGAAGCAGCACCGAATGGTGAATGACGTGCTAAAGAAAGAGTTCGAGGGCATCCATGGCTTGCAAGTGAGTCTTCGTTGTACTCCCTTGTATCGACCCTGACCTGTATCAAGCTGAAAACAATACCGGTATAATGCGACCATCACTTCTGCCCTCCCTTAGATTCCGCTGGTGTACATGCACCACTCACGCGATTAAGGGCGACGATCCTTAGCTGGGTTACTGCCTCTAATGTGCTTTCGGTTACGTACAGATTATGGTCCAATCACGCTCCTCTGATGTACTGCCACAAGTTCGCAGACCTCGCGGAAGCGTTTCATACTTCTCCGCATTCATTCAGATTGCGCTAACATACACTTCTAATCCCCCCCCCGGACCCAGAGCTCAGTAGCGATCTCTCGAACCGATAGCTTCGCTAATCCTGCCATTCTTAATCAGCGCTTCAGTCTCCGGCTTTACGCTAGCCAGGAGATCCTTGACTGTCTTCGTCGTCTTCCAGCCGATTGCTCTTGAGCGCTCCGCCTTGCAGCGCGAATTGGAACCAAGATAAGCGGACTGCAGAGTAGCAAATTGTCAGTTACCATCGTCCTTCACCCATGGACGGACACGAAACATACCCCTCCGAAATATTTCTGCATTTCCTCCTTCGTGAAAGTCGTCGGCTCCTCGCTCTTCCCGCGACCGAGCTCAACGAGCGTCTTGGCTACAGCCTTGGCAACGTCGTACATCAAGTAATGGTCGCTCTCTCCGAAATAATAACCCTCCCGGCCATTGGGAGTATTCGGGTTCGCCGTGGCCGCGTCGAACAGCGTGATGTACAAGTCGGCGACTGAATGACCAGTCATAATATATCAGGACATCATCGCGACGGGAAAATAGATACGACGCTTACTTTCTTCGATGTGCACGCACGGCCAGATGTTCTTCCCTTGGCCGACCATGCCTCCCTGCTGTCTGTCCCAGCTCGACTTGATCAGGGCGGGAACCTGCACGGAGTGCGGGTTCGATACTCCTTTGTCGAACAGAACGCCCTCGGCGATGCCGTAGATTGTCGAAGGTAAGATGATATGAGTCCGGGCATATCCTGCATGCCAGACCTCAGCTCGATTTCCCCCCTGCCACTGACACAGGTACTCACCTTGTTTACCCTCATTGCTGACGAAGATGTCGACCCACCGGTGTGGCTGAGACGGCTTCAAAGCCTCGATCATGTCGATATCCAGATCGGAATAGACGACGTCGCTGGCAAACATGCCCGCAGCGTTGTCAGAGATCACGCCTGAGGACCGTTGAGCCCTGTGTCAGCATGCAAAGTTGGGTTGTGCTATCGATATGACGTGGACTTGCCTGTGCCGGACTGGTATGCGTTTGAGCAGGGTTAGCTGATGCAGTCACAGGGAATGATGCCAATGGGCATCTTACCGTATGGATCAAAATTGGTACCTCACCGGTTTCCGCGTGCCTTTTCTTCTGGGCGCTCAGGATGGCCTTCGCAGCCTCCAGATCGTCAGCATCTGCCTGTCATTATTTCCTGTTAATTCCACGAGACACCCGACGTTTGCCTGGAGTCTGGACATACCACCGCGAAGACGACATTTGCTTCCTTTGCGAGCGCCTCGAGCTTGTCAGTATCGGAGTGAGAGCCTATCACGGGCTTGACGCCGAATGTCTCCAGGAGCTTTGCCTTGTCGGGGTTGCGGACAAGGGTCGTGATTTCGAACGATTGTGCCTTAGGATGTTCCAGAAGGCGCTGCAGGACCGACCCTCCAATGTAACCTAGCAAGGGTTAGCATACATAGGCTGGGTGCACGCGTACTTTCCGACGTCTCTCACCTGTGGCGCCAGTCAGGAAGATATGGGTTTTGGTTGACATCGTATACAGTTCGGATTGCCCTCCTTAGGTTGGTTTACCTGGGGTATAGGAAGTCTGGTCCTTGGTAAGCCCTGTAAATGTAAGTATTTAGGCAGAGACTCTTCGAAGTGTTCTGCCATGACGTCAAGCCGAGATCGAAGGAGAACATATGTTTATGCCGGGGCTCTCTTATGTGTATTCAGCGCGATCTCCAGTCTACTAGACTCTGGGTCAGCTGGGTGAAGGATCAGAGCTTCGCGATGTCGCGCCATCTGCTGTTCTCGCATAGTTCTCCTCTTCCCCCCCTTCTTTCCGGGAGTACTAGTATTATAGTCCCAGCGAGTCTGTGTTCGATATCAATTGAGGAGCCTGAGCTTCGACCGGCGTGGGCCTCATGAATAAGCTACGTGTCCCAAAGATGGACATACGATATTCCAGTCTAGGTACCGGACATTCGATTCAAACGGCCGCCTTTTGTACTACTATCATTGAGGGGGTTCTGCAAAATTTGCAGAACCCCCTCACCCCCTTATATCTCATTCCACACTCAACCAAAAAATGTTGGGTAAGCTCAGGCAGGTATATATACACTAGAATAGAACCTCTGCCAAGTCAGAATGGGAATATCTGCTGTGGTTGAAGAGAGGGAGAGAAAATGGGTCCTGTAGGCCATGGGAAAGAAACAGTGTCCACTAGATCTCTCGTGATGCTCTCAACGGACTGCAGCGGAATGGCTTGGCGTATCATGAATATGCTGTCTATAGTACAATACACCAGCCCGATAGAGTAAATAACGAGCGTGTCGAGATAGAGAGGCAACTTTGCACATCTCCCGGGCCCATATCGTGACAAAAGCGTGACATCGCTCGCGGCGAGATCCCACTGTGACCGCATGTGACACCTTTTTGCAGAACCCCCTACATGAACCGGCATCTCTCTCCTACGTTCCACAGGCTGCAA